TTTGCTAGAAAGAAGGATTTGATTAGTATGTATCCAAGCGCTCTTGTTAGCGGTTTTATGAACATTTTGGTCTACTTTAACAAATTAGCGAATAATTTTTAAACCGCTCGATAGATTTTTTAGAAAAATTAAGATTCTTGAGATTAACCTTCCTTTTATGTGACCTTTTAGTTTCAAGATTATTGATATATTGTAAGGCAGTAAAATAAGGGCTACAATTCGCTAATATTTTGGCAGAAATTTTGTGTTTACAAGTGTGAGCCTCTCATTATTCAGGGTATTGTGTCCAAGTTTCATATTTTCGTGCACAACAAAAGCTAGCATTTTTGCATATTTTAAATGCATTGTTAGTTACTGCTGTTCACGTGAAAATGAAACTTGGAGACAATGCCTTGAATAATTAGAGGCTTTCACTTATAATGACGAAACTTCCGATAAAAAAGTAACGAATTGTAGCCCTTATTTTACTGCCTTACAACATATCAATAATCTTGAAACTAAAAGGTTATATAAAAGGAAGGTTAATCTCAAGAATCTTAAATTTTTAAAAAAATCTATCGAGCGGCTTAAAAATTATTCGCTCATTTGTTAAAGAAGACCAAAATGTTTACAAAGCCGCTAACAAGAGCGCTTCGATACATACTAATCAAACTCTTCTTTCTAGCAATCGGCTGGAGCTATCTCCTTGATCTTTCACATACGTTTTTAAAAAGATTGAAACTACTATCAGGTGAAATTGCGTGTCAAAAGCGCCTCATTTTCTACAGATTACGGCCAAACAACAATATTGTCCATTTTTTACTGTGTTTCTAACAATAAAAACATTATCGCAAAATATCTCGATAACGCTCTTACAGATTTCGCTTAAACTTCACGAACATCGAGGCTGCTATTGGAGGAAAAAGCTCCCGTGAATGCTTTTCGAAGAACAGTTCCCAGTGCCGAGATATACTGCTGCAAGTAAAATAGGCAATAGCGTCGTTTTGTTGCTATGACAACTCCGATGCCGTTGCAACACTGATCATAACAAATTTTCATCATTCTCTAATACAACTGTGGTGGCAATTTTTCCAAAACTTTGTTTTTGGCGACGTAGTTTATGCTCACACTTGAGAGGTATTGACCCCGAAAAACTGTATCGAGCCACCTTAAGGTCTGCGTATAAAGTCGATCACATTGCTAACACAGACAAAAACGCTTAAATATCTGCTACAAAATGAACGGCTGAGTTTGTTTTTTCTACGGGTCAAACTGCTACTATTTATCCCAGAAGCGCTCAGGCATAATAATATGCCAGGACTTCTACCTGGATGAACCAGAAAGGATATAGAACAACTGCCTAATTTTTTTTTTTTTACGGCTACGGGTCGAAATGCTAAACGTGTTATATATCCTAGAAGCGCTCAGGCATAATAATATGCCAGGACTTCTACCTGGATGAACCAGAAAGGATATAGAACAACTGCCTAATGTTTTTTCACGGCTACGGGTTGAAAGGCTAAACGTGTTATATATCCTAGAAGCGCTCAGGCATAATAATAACATGCCAGGACTTCTACCTGGATGAACCAGAAAGGATATAGAACAACTGCCTAAATTTTTTTTTTTTTCACGGCTACGGGTTGAAATGCTAAACGTGTTATATATCCTAGAAGCGCTCAGGCATAATAATAACATGCCAGGACTTCTACCTGGATGAACCAGAAAGGATATAGAACAACTGCCTAATTTTTTTTTTACGGCTACGGGTCGAAATGCTAAACGTGTTATATATCCTAGAAGCGCTCAGGCATAATAATATGCCAGGACTTCTACCTGGATGAACCAGAAAGGATATAGAACAACTGCCTAAATTTTATTTTTTTTTTTACGGCTACGGGTTGAAACGCTAAACGTGTTATATATCCTAGAAGCGCTCAGGCATAATAATAACATGCCAGGACTTCTACCTGGATGAACCAGAAAGGATATAGAACAACTGCCTAAATTTTTTTTTTCACGGCTACGGGTTGAAACGCTAAACGTGTTATATATACTAGAAGCGCTCAGGCATAATGATATCATGCCAGGACTTCTACCTGGATGAACCAGAAAGGATATAGAACAACTACCTAATTTTTTTTTTTACGGCTACGGGTTGAAATGCTAAACGTGTTATATATCCTAGAAGCGCTCAGGCATAATGATCTCATGCCAGGACTTCTACCTGGATGAACCAGAAAGGATATAGAACAACTGCCTAAATTTTTTTTTTTTTCACGGCTACGGGTTGAAATGCTAAACGTGTTATATATCCTAGAAGCGCTCAGGCATAATAATAACATGCCAGGACTTCTACCTGGATGAACCAGAAAGGATATAGAACAAGTGTCTAATTTTTTTTTTGCGGCTACGGGTCGAAATGCTAAACGTGTTATATATCCTAGAAGCGCTCAGGCATAATAATATGCCAGGACTTCTACCTGGATGAACCAGAAAGGATATAGAACAACTGCCTAAATTTCATTTTTTTTCTACGGCTACGGATTGAAACGCTAAACGTGTTATATATCCTAGAAGCGCTCAGGCATAATAATAACATGCCAGGACTTATACCTGGATGAACCAGAAAGGATATAGAACAACTGCCTAAATTTTTTTTTTTTTCACGGCTACGGGTTGAAATGCTAAACGTGTTATATATCCTAGAAGCGCTCAGGCATAATAATAACATGCCAGGACTTCTACCTGGATGAACCAGAAAGGATATAGAACAAGTGTCTAATTTTTTTTTTGCGGCTACGGGTCGAAATGCTAAACGTGTTATATATCCTAGAAGCGCTCAGGCATAATAATATGCCAGGACTTCTACCTGGATGAACCAGAAAGGATATAGAACAACTGCCTAAATTTTATTTTTTTTTTTACGGCTACGGGTTGAAACGCTAAACGTGTTATATATCCTAGAAGCGCTCAGGCATAATAATAACATGCCAGGACTTCTACCTGGATGAACCAGAAAGGATATAGAACAACTGCCTAATTTTTTTTTTTTTTTTTTTTTTACGGCTGCGGGTTGAAATGCTAAACGTGTTATATATCCTAGAAGCGCTCAGGCATAATAATATGCCAGGACTTCTACCTGGATGAACCAGAAAGGATATGGAACAACTGCCTGAATTTTTTTTGACGGCTGCGGGTCGAAATGCTAAACGTGTTATATATCCTAGAAGCGCTCAGGCATAATGATCTCATGCCAGGACTTCTACCTGGATGAACCAGAAAGGATATAGAACAACTGCCTAAATTTTTTTTTACGGCTACGGGTCGAAATGCTAAACGTGTTATATATCCTAGAAGCGCTCAGGCATAATAATATTCCAGGACTTCTACCTGGATGAACCAGAAAGGATATAGAACAACTGCCTAATTTTTTTTCACTGCTACGAGTTGAAACGCTAAACGTGTTATATATCCTAGAAGCGCTCAGGCATAATAATATGCCAGGACTTCTACCTGGATGAACCAGAAAGGATATAGAACAACTGCCGTTTTTTTCTACGCGTCGAAGTTCTAAACGTGTTATTCTTAGAAGCGCTCAGGCTTAATAATACGCCAGGTTTCCAGCGACTGATTTTAGCTGATTTTGCGGTGCGCAAGAATGGATAATTTACCCGACTTGTAAACAGATATTTCCTTCAGCCGATTGTGTCTCATGCAGGAGAATGTCATGTCTGCGTTGATTTGTTTCTACTGAAGTTTTATCAAAGGAAACTTTAGCGAAAATAGGGAGATCGCAATTTATACTCTTACGAACTATAAATTAGGGCTGACCTGGAAGACGCGTTGAATTGTGCCGCCATCCTTCAAAATATAATCTGGCTGCGTTTAAGGGGACAATTTCCTTTTCCATCCAGATTTACTTGGTATATGTGTTTGCGAGAATCTTCAGACAAAGAATTGGGTATACACTGATTCGAATGGCTTGGCGATACTAAGTGCTTAAGTCTACTTACCGATTACAAGATGTTTTGGAAGTATTGAGAAGCGCGCCAAACGAGGTTGTCACAGCGTTCTCGAGCGAACACGGCGCGACCTGGATTGATAAAATTACCATTACATGCAGCTATCATGCCAGTGATTTCTCCTTTCGTCGCATAGTGAATAGTTTGTGAGCACATCCTCGACTCTCGAAACATTTGTCTTGCGCCGCTATAGAAGTTGCTTCTCCCGCGAACCATAGGTAGATTTCCCGCTTAACATAATGTTTGATGATTTATGCAAAAGTTGACCTTGTGAAAGTCAGCAGTGCTTTAATCGACTCAAAAATAAACAGACTTCCTACAGGGTTTTGAACACGGTTTTAATTAAAGTACTTTACGAGCGCTTCGGCAGTTGACCGCAAAAGTGTTACGGTGATGGATACTCAACTGGATTATTACGTCACTTCGTAGCAACCAGACGGTACGAATTTTTTAACTTCCGGAGCGCTGAGGCTCGTAGTGTTTCATTTTGTGTGAGCGTCTAGTGCGTGAGTGAGAAAGGGATACATACTTCGAAAGGCCTATATCATTAGGTTTGTGGGACGCCTTAAAAAAAAAAGTTGAGTCGTTGACACTCACGACCCTCAGAGAGTAATGAGCAATCCAGGACACCAGGAGCCCATCAAATAGAGCCTCCATCTCCCACACAAGCCCTTGGAGCCAACTCTTTCCCGAGTAGATTTATAATTAGAACGGTTCCCAGGGGAGACTTCGCGCGCCGAGGACACTCAACATGCAAGAGACGCTTGATTTGCGGGAATAGTCACGGAAGACGAAGCGGGCAGCTCTCTGCTGAACTTTTTCCAGGCTGGAAATGTTGCGCTGGGTATAAGGATCCCAAGCACAGCAAGCATACTCAAGGGTCCAACGTACAAGGGTGAGATATAGTTTGGCCTTAGTCTCACCCGTACAATGAAAAAAGTTGCGAAAAGTTGCGAGAGATAAAATTGAGAATATGAGTGCTCTTATTTACATCATAGTCACAATGTTTATTAAGACGCAAGTCAGATGAGATAATAGAACACCGAGGTAAGGGTGTGAATCAGCCACTTCAAGAGCCTGGCCATTCAGGAAGTAAGTGGTGATGACTGGGGGTCTGCCACGGGTGATATGCATTATATAGGCGAATCCTTGTTTACATTTTTTGCCTCATTAGCATAAGCCAATCATTGTCTGATGAAGCTAATAAAATGAAATTTTTGAATATTGAAAGAGCATAACAATTTTTTTTTCTTTTTGTTACCAGCTTTTCTGGACACAGGCCTGCCCAGAGAGAATGTGCACGAACGGGACTCAGGTCCCATGCGAGGTGGCATCCCTACCCAATCCCACAACCCGTACAGGTTGACGACACCACCGGGGTCTACGACCCCTACTCTGTTTTGAATAGTGATATGGGTTCTTTTACGTCCCCCAAGAACAAATCAGTAAAAGTGCTGCGAGACGGGACTCACGGTTTTTTTCGTCCTTATCCGAGAAGACTAGAAAGTCTAACCATTTGCAGATGTCATTTCAAAGGCGCTCTCCCAACTGAAGTAGCCAGGCTAATTTCAGCTAATTTCAGTTATCTCTGAAAATTTGAGCCCGATGTACCAAATCGTTTCGGAGAAATTCCTTTTGAAAAACCCCAAAATTTACAAAGAATGTATAGGCTCATTAACGTTTTACCACCCAGTAATTTTGCAGATTTTAATTGCTGCTATTTTTTTTTTTTTGTTATTGATTGCAAAGAGCAAAAATGTAAACAATGACTTCACGATGAATCCGCCTATAACACTTGCTGCGAATGAAACGCATTTGCCATTTGCAGCCTATAGGGAGAGGAATTCTAGATCAGACTGGAATTGTTGAGGTGACGTAGTGGAGGAAAGTTCAAGATAGATTATGAAGTCATCAGCAAAAAGGCGAGTTTAGGAAGAGATATTGTCGGGGAGGTCGTTTATGTAGATACAGAAGAGTAGGGGGCCTAGAACAGATCCAAGGGGGACGCCAAAAGTAACACTGCAGATCCCAGAATGGCACCCGCCAACTACTGCAGATTGTGTGCGATTTGTTATAAAAGATTTAATCCAGGTCAAAGTATGACCACGAATGCCATAAGAGGCAAGTTTGCCTTTGATGAGGGACAGAGGCAAAGGCCATAGAGAAGGCAAAAGACAAAGGCCCTAGAGAAATCGTACAGCGAAACTTCTATTTAAACTGTGTATCACGTTATTAGAAGGTTTTGAAGAGATATCGTATGGTTCGGTGTCAAGTGCTTGTAATCGGAGGAGAAATTGGCCAGAGTGAGTCGGGCGTGTAAATAGAACATTTTGTTTTACTGACGCGAGTTACAGGGTGCAGTTGCTCAAAGGCCGATTAGTGCTTAACCCGGGATTCTTTTTCTTTCTTCAAAAACATTTCTTCGGACATTTCCTTTGTTATTTTTAAGAGCATCCAATCATCAACTTGTTGGCAAAATGAATTGCATTGAGTTTACTGTTTTGAAAGCTTTCACATCTGAATTCAAACTTCGCTCGCACGGTAGTTTCGAAAACGAAGCACTCGAAAACGAAGACCGAAGCACGAAGCACCCAAATCTCGAAAACGAAGACCCTAAATCTCGAAAACGAAGCACCCAAAACTCGAAAACGAAGCACCCACAAACTCGAAAACGAAGACCCCTAGATCGAAAACGAAGCACCCAAAACTCGAAAACGTGGTAAAGCGTGGCGTAAGAGTAATACGCGCGAGCCTCACACTCGGTTTTCAGCCTCGTTTCAGACCTTTTGTGTTACTGCTGACGCGTACTTGAATACGCCAAAATCTGCTGACGGACAGTTTTGAAGTCTACAGAAGCATGTATGTGTACCGAAAAAATGCATATTTAGATAAGATGTATCAAGTATAGCGAGACTAATAATAATATTAATACAGGATATCCTTTCTAGAAACGTTCAGTTAAACAGTTGGCAGGCTTTTATAAAACCTTGGGATGGATTTTGTGGACCTTTGGAGGTGCGGACGCATGCGCTGCCTCCACCTGATTCGGACTGCGTGATGCAAGACGTAAACTTGAAGTTATTAAACCTACAGTGGTTTCGAGTTTTGGGTACTTCGTTTTCGAGATTTAGGGGTCTTCGTTTTCGAGTTGTGGGTGCTTCGTTTTCGATTTAGGGTGCTTCGTTTTCGAGATTTGGGTGCTTCGTGCTTCGGTCTTCGTTTTCGAGTGCTTCGTTTTCGAAACTACCTCGCACTAACCCTGTCAAAGCCTTCAATGGAATGTGTGCCCTGCGGCTCACGTCAATAACGTTTCCAGTTATTTGGTCGAGCGTGTTGATTTCAGTGACTCGACAGTGGTTTATAAGTTTTTCCTAATGACTAGAGTTCGTTTGTCCGGTGCCGAAAATATCACAAGTCATGATCAAATAGGTAAATAGCGCCGCCGAGCTTCATATCTCGGTAGATTTACTTTGTGGCACGACTGCCGAGCTACACAACTCGGTAGCTTTGTGACACAACGGCCGCCGAGCTACACAACTCGGTAAATTTACTTTGTGGCACAACGGCTGCCGAACTAAACCCGGTTTGATACATACACCAGGAGTCGCAGACATTTTCCAAAGACAGTGACGAACCATGCTGAAAAATATCAAGGCTTAATCTATGGAGGCCCGTTCTGGTCAAAATTAATATAATAAAATGGCATCACAAGTGACTTTTTCGGCCAGTGCAGCATTTATTGTGGACCTCTTGAGTATTTTTGTCATCACTACACAGGATTTTTTTAGTGTGTTTTTATTTTTTTTTAGCTGCATGAATTATTTTTTAATTAAGGCTGTTTACTTTTTTTATGTTGTATGAATAAATTTTTCATGCGTACCACAAATAATTTTTTAGTGGTACCACGAATTATTTTTAATACAAGTATTGAGAATTATTTTTTCATCGTGCTGATAATTATTTTTCGCTGTATCGAGAATTTATTTTTGGTTCTACAATGCTTTGCGGGCCTTGCAGTTGAAGTGGACTGGTTCGACTCTTTGACTTCCTTGAGCGACCATTTTGAAAACCTTGCAAATGAAGGAGTGTTTTCAAAGAGAATGCCAAGGCGAAACATTGTCAGAGAACTGAAACGACAGAGGTTTTCATCTTTCTTACAAAATCTGTCAGGAGCTAGTAGTCTGTCGTTAGTGATGAGGTTTTCTGGACCGAAGATTTAATAGAGGAGACTACGAAGGGACTTCACGACTCGTACACAATTCTAAACCTTATTCAGAACATGACATGTCTGCACGATTGAACTGTTCTTTACCCGGTCTTGTCCTCGAATCTTCGTCTCGCACTACACATGCTGGTTTTCGGAACGAAGACGCAGAGAATGAGAGTGTCCGCTACCCTGAAGTTCAGGAAGAAGCTCCCGATTCTAATCCAGACGGGCGAGCACCAGAAGCAGAGCCAGATGGACTCGAGGGAGAAGACCTATGCTGAGTGCTAGTTAGAGTAGACCTCACTAAATGGGAAATTCGATTGATTTATCTAACATTTATGTTATGGCATTAATTATTGGCTATACATCTCAGGTATCTGACGTTGGACCGACTCATTCATCTCCGAATATTAAAAACATAATGTTAAAAATCAGGAATTACTATACTGCCATCGTAAAGGCACTCGAGCAAGTTCCCCATGTTAGTTAGTTAGTGAGGTCTACTCTCACTAGCACTCTGCGAAGGTCATATACCTCGAATCCATTTGCCTCTGCTAGTTCTTATGCCCCCCCGTCAGGATTTGAATCGGGAGATTTTTCCTGAAGTTCAGGGTAGAGGGCATTCTCTTTCACAGCAATGACAATGACAATGCTTTATTTATTTGGAGTCTTATACAGTCCTGTGTACATTGACTTTATCCAAATAATTTAGAATCATAACACAAATTGCACACTAGTGGAACTATAATCAATGTTAACCTAAAGAACTAATGATCTTCTTTTCTCATAGCAGTCGAATACGTATTTTGCAATTAACTTTTGCACTGGTTTGTTCTTGCTCAGCATCTTCCTTCCCGAAAGCCAGCATGTGTGGTACGGGACGAAGACTCGAGGTGTAAGATTGTGTAGAGAACTGTTCAATTGGGGAGATATGTCATGTGCAATAAGCAGGGTGTCCAGCGGCATGGTTGCTCAAAAATATAGGCAAATAGGAGACTCAGCACTGAGAAAATAGGAAAAATAGGAAACTTTGTATTAAAAAATAGGAGAAAAATGGGAAAATCAATAGTACTTTTGTGGACAAAGGTAGCCTCCCTGCACCCCATCAGGGTTATAATAAATGCCACGAGTCCTCAGATTCTACGTTCGCAGGATTGAGATCAACTTTCGCGGCTAAGAAGGAGTAAAAATGATCAGTAACGTTTAGAATATTGCCTCAGTTATGCTATAATCAGAATGATATGCTTGACTGCAGGTCAAGCGTGGTTCTATAATCAAAGGTGATCCTATGCAAATTCCCCTCAAGTTGGCGGCAAATCTTTGAAAAGCTTTGAAGAGTGAAATTTCTTAGTATAGAAATTTCTTACGATTGAGTTGTCATTGAACGATATCGAACTAGAACGTAAAAGTCCTATGGAAAGCTTTCCTTCCATTAATCTGCAATCGGTAGCTGGTTGAGAATATGCTTGTTTGAGTCAAAACACCGCATAATTTTAAGTACGAAACTAGGCTTTCTGCGGTGTACGCAAAATGACACTGATGTGTTTGGTACCAGATTGTAAGTTTGTCATGGTTAAGTTCTAAGAAGAACATAACACTGCTTAGCTATGACTGCAAGACCGGTTTTGCAACCAAAATATTGGATCCTTCATCAGTTGCTTAGGTATAGCTGTTAAAAAGGGCTCACCAAGAGAGCTAGCACCATACACTAAACTTTAGTCTGTTCTTTTCATGTAGCATCCAGAATCAGCTAGTGATCATGATTGGTTTTTAAAAACAAGATGCTGATTGGATTGGCCTGTGTTGTGAGAGGCCAACTTGATCCTGTTTTCAGTTTCAAAGATGAACATAAAAGTGAGCAAGACTTCAAAATAAAATATAACATGTACAGATACTGAAATGCAGTTTCAGTGGGCTATACACAATGTTATTCAATAGTCAGGAGGAGAACTATAACACTACATACAATACATGTACATGCTGGTTAACAAAAATGTTAACAGAACTCTACCAGGCAATAGAGGTCATGGAAAGAACAAACGTAACTGTTATTTTTACTAATATTAGAATATCAAAGTCAACATACTACTTGCTTTATGATAAATTTCACTCAAAAACACATACAATTATAATTTCATTTTCAATTTTGTTACAAATTTTGCCTTCACCGGCTAAAAAATAGGAAAAATATGAGGTTTTAGTTTAAAAATAGGAGAAAATAGGAATAGGCTCAAAAAATAGGAAAAAATAGGAACTGGACACCCTGAATAAGGGTTAGAATTGTGTACGAGTCGTGAAGTCCCTTCGTAGTCTCCTCTATTAAATCTTCGGTCCAGAAAACCTCATCACGAACGGCAAAGACTACTGGCTCCTGATAGATTTTGTAAGAAAGATGAAAACCTCCTTTGTTTCTTTCCCTGACAATGTTTCGCCTTGGCATTCTCTTTCAAAGCACTCCTCCACTTCAAAGTTTTCAAAATGGTCGCCCAAGGAAGTCAAAGACTCGAACCAGTCCACTTCAACTGCAAGGCCCGCAAAGCATTGTAGGCCCAAAAATAAATTCGCGATACAGCGAAAAATAATTATCAGCACGATGAAAAAATAATTCTCAATACTTGTATTAAAAATAATTCGCGGTACCACTAAAAAATTATTTGTGGTACGCATGAAAAGTTTATTCATACAACATAAAAAAAGTAAACAGCCTTAACAAAAAATAATTCATGCAGCTAAAAAAAAATAACAACACACTAAAAAAATCCTGTGTAGTGATGACAAAAATACACAACGGGTCCATAATAAATGCTGCACTGGCCGAAAAAGTCACTTGTGATGCCATTTTATTATTATAATATTAATTTTGACCAGAACGGGCCTCCATATTAATCCAAAGTAAAATTTAACAGCAAACTTCTGAAAGATGAACGCTTTGGACAGGAGCCCATTAAGTTACTAGCAAAATGGCTTCCCGGTTTGCTGCCGTAACAAACAAAGAAATTTCACAAATAATCAAACAAGCTGTTTCCGAAATACACGAAGAAGGTGACGAAATTCGGTTTTGGAAGTTTTAGCAGGTAAAGCTTTGTCTGTTTGACTTGAATTTTAATATCGATGAAGCCGGTAAAAAACTTTTTTGTTTACAAATGCAGATTAAGTCTTGCGTCACTTTATTAAGTTTACGTGTTTATAAATAAGCTTTCAACTAAATTGAAGACTTTTTTTTACAGAATGGTTTTAAATACAAAGAGAATTTACAACTCCTTTTGAAGACATATCCCCGAAAGAGCTAAACAAATACCCTCAAAAGTTTCATTTGTCGGCAGATAAACCCTTCTCCTGGTTCTGGGAATGTCATGGGTAATTCTTTCGTTTTCTTTGATGTATCCATAGTGATTTCCCTTGGGCAAAAGGGCTAGTAGAACCGCAACTGATGACAATCACGGCTCACACGGTAATAATCAAATACTCAATTCAGTAGACACTCTTTTCAGGCGATAATAAACATAACATGTGTGATGTGTCGTGTTACAAGGTCGTTCAACGGATGATTGCATAAACATATGTGAGGTGTTGTGTAGCCTGCGTAGCAAGCGTTTCCGTTTGGTTTCGGAGCAAAGAAATACCGAGGAAGGGGACTTTCGGTTTTGACCGCGCGAGAAATGAAACGAGAGCCAAAAAGTGAAAGAGGGGGGAGGGGGAGGGAAACGAAGGAAACGCTTGCAGACAAACCCCTCGATTTTGAAAACCTGCGTTCGCCAGCGAACGCAGCGCCTGATTGGCTCGGCTAGTCGAACAATGTTGACATGTGTCGATCAAAGGTTTGTTTCATACTGAGATGTCATGTTTGGTACGTGACACGCATATTAATTTTCTGTTGCTATTGTTTATTCTGGTCGGCAAGATTTTCCCTCCAATGCAAGAGCATTTTATTTAACTTCTTTTGAAACACAAATCTCTTCTTGCGACTTAATAAGGGTTTCAGGTTGTTTTATTTGTCTCCTGGATCTGAATAACTAAAAGCGATTTTCTTTTGTCAGGGAATGCGATGGTTTCCTGCAATGTTTTGTTATGCTGGGCCCAGCTCGTTAGTGTTTTTTTTTTTTTTTTTTTTTGGGATGTTAAATTCTCTCGGATAGTGATTTACAGATACAAATTTTGAAGAATGGATTGCACCTTAAACTGAAGCTACATCAACTAGGAAGACCTGCATTGTGACTCAGTCAAAATTTTGGCTTGGTTCTCCACGCGAACTTCATCAGTTGCCGGGTTAGCTTTGTTCTAGGATGCTTTTACAAAGCCTGCATTGATCATTCGGATTCATTGAGATTTCACCATTACCGCCGTCCATGCGCTCCAAAATACAAAAAAAAAATCATTTTGGTTTCACAAACGCTTCCTCTAAAGTTCATTTCCGCTCCACGGAAGGCCAAACATTTTATTGGTCAATTATGACAGTTGATGACAGCATCAAATGTCGGTTCGCGAACTTAGGCGTGACAGACCAAGTGGGTGGTTTTCAAAATCCCGGTGTTTGTCTGCAAGCGTTTCCTTCCTTTCTTCCCCACCCCCTCCCCGCTCTTTTACTTGCGCCACTATTCTCGCGGTCTTCGACTCTCGTTCCTCGTTCTTTTCTCCTAAACCGTACAGAAACGCTTGCTACGCAGGCTAGGTGTTGTGCCCGGGGGGGGCACTCCCATACATTACCTATACGGGTATGTGCCGCCCAACGGGGTCGTGATTTTGAAGCTCCTGATTTAGAACGGGGTATCCATTTCAGAGGCGTTTTCTAGAACGGGGTATAAAAAATTGTGGATCACGGCTTTATCTTCTGCTTAAAATTGTTGCTGATTATGAAGAAGCATTTATTTGATGTATAAGTCGAACAAGGAAAGAAATATCTCTTAAAAAAACAGGGCTTTTGCAATTTACAAACTTTCTAGAACGGAGTATAAGCAACTGGCCCATTTCTAGAACGGGGTATCAGTTTTAGGGTGAATTCTAGAACGGGGTATAAAAAATTGGCTCATTTCTATAACGGGGTATCAATTTTAGGGGAAATTTTTTTTAGAACGGGGTGCCAATTTAGAGTCCCCGGCGGCACATACCCACCCAAAAAATATCCAAGTGCCCCCCCCAGGGTGTTGTGTTACAACGGTCGGTTCGAAGATTATAAAGTCGCAAGCCGACTGATCTAATTCTTTAAAACAAAAAAAAGAAAGAACGCTAATTTTCCAATAAAAGTTTACTTATCTTCTTTCGATGTTGTATTCCTTCTCTTTAAATCATCAATAAAAACGAAAATATGGCGAAACATTGCTTAGTTATTGCACAAGAACCATTCTATTTAAGGTAGAATTTCTAATTCGCTTGAGAGGAATTTGTTTCACTTGTAATAGTTGGGAGAAACTTTTCATCCTTTCTTCTGCAAATAAAATTTACTACTGAAGTACTCATGCATTCACTTGTTCCTAGTTGTATTTTAATAAGTTCGTAACGCGAAGATGCGATGGATGAAGTTGTCATAATACCATGAAATCGTGCTGGTAATAACAATGGCGACTCTTTTCCATTTCGTAGAACGCCGAAAGACCACCGAAATCCAAATGAAGTGACGTTTTATAATATAGGGTTAGGAAACTAAGCCGGTGAATCGAGATCCAGTCCACTTTGCCCTATGTAACATGATCTTATTCATGGAATTTTATTAATCGATACATTCAGTTTCCTTTATACCTAAATCTCCCTAAAGCCCCGTCCAAACGGACGGAACATTGTTGCTCAACAACTTCCAACATAGCCAGATGTTACATGTTGAGTGCGTTTGCACACCCTGTTGCATCTTGTTGCATGTTGTTGGGAGTTAAGAATTGGGCAAAGTTTGAAACCGGTCAAACGTTTAGCTACGTGCAGACGGGCGCAACAACTCCCAAAGGATTACCTGTGATAACGCAGCTCAAAATTGTACACCTCTTCAAAAACAAATTCACGGTTACTATGTAGAAGACACCTTAAAGAGCAGAGAACCTGCGAATGTTGTTAATAGACTACTTCCGCTTTGCATTGAGAGCATCTCGCATCGCTCGGAAATGTGTATGACTACATTTGAGACTACATGCTAAATACTGTATTCACCCCACCACTTTAATATAAAGCTTCAAGTTTTTTGTTTGTCGTTTGGATTTTTCTTTCATTAGATTGATTTCGTTATGCCCTTGTAATAATCAAAGACTATTCAATTTATGATTTGTCATAATATTTCAAGTTCGTAATTCCATCAACAATATATCCATCACTACTAAACATCAAAATCAATTCTACTAGCGAAGCACTGCCACTTCGTCTCTCTCGCCATTAACTAATGACTAACCTTTAAAAAGGCTTCTATCTTGCAAGGAATCCATATATTTAGGTAAATCGTTGCAATGTTGGGTACAGCAATCTCTGCAATTTAAACGATGCTCGACAAAAATGTTGCTAAATTCTTCACTAATTCACCGTTGTAGTTGACTGTAATGAGTATTATTAACTCGCTCTCATTTTGTTTATAGGTAAAAACAATATTCAAGAGCACAATTAACCACGAACCAAAAGCACGAATGAAAACAACGTCCACCATCAAGGAAAAGTTCGAGAGAACATTGGCAGCATCGGCATTAGCTGACGGTCATGGAAGAATGAGCTAGCCTGCGAGGCCGAGTGCTTTGGGTATCCCCGAGTTTTGGGTATCCTTGTATTCAAATCACTAATGATATGGGTATCCCCGGTCACTGCCCGGTAGGGATACCCATCTGATCTTGCTTCTGACAACAAAACTGGTTAGAGCGAAGTATTTAAAAGATAAAACTTTACAATCTATTTATGATCTGAATGCTTTGTAAACGTTTTTGCAAACTTGTTTGCTGCTGTGAATTTTGTGACGGACGTATATAGTGTAAACCCCGGTCCATGGACCACCTCTGTGTACCTAGTCCATGGACCCCTTCGTGGACTCGGTCCATGGACTACCCCTGTGGACTACCCTCAATATTTGAAAATGAGGTCTGAACTAATTTTAGGAACCTTAAAGGCTAAAGGGATGAAAGTGTGCCAATGTTTTGTATATTATCAGGATTAAAGGCTCTGAGTGTTTAGATAATACCGTGTTGGTTTGGAAAAAGTGTTTGTTGTGTTCCAGGAATATGTTGTTGTGTTCCAAGAACTATTTGTTGTGTTTGCAGATATGGGCCACCTTGCCCCCGCGTTTTGTCGGTAAATCGCATAGCCATCCGGATTTTAAGAGATAAAAACAACAACAACAAAGCCAGGCCCGTAGCAGGGGGAGGGGCAGGGGGGGCTCAAGCCCCCCCAGAAATTTTCAGACTTGAATTAAATTCTGCTACAAAAGTGGATTTTTTCTACTAAAACGGACAGCTGTCAATGGAAGCTTAAGTTTCAAAGTATTGTCGATCATAGTAAGATTATGTACTGTTGTTCTTCTGTGCAATTTGGAATTGTGTAAATGAACGAAATCGTATTTTTGGTCTGCCAAAAACAACCAACAGCTTTAAAATATCTGCTTATTAAGCATCAAAATAGTCAGAAGCAAAATGGATCGAAATGCACCAATGACAATCCCTGATCTTGACCTCTTGAACTTTAATGGTTTCCTAAGAGGTCCGCCAGTGTAAAATATACTACTGTACTAGAATAAAACTTAGGTTTTTGCGCGTTTATATTGAAAGTCTTACAATGTCTTCGCAAGAGCCGCCGAAAAAGAAACCCAAACAAGTCGAAAATAAGCAGGGAACACTTTTATCGTGGGTAAAACCATCCACTAGTGACACAGAGCCTGGTGTAGTCTAAGAAACAATCCGAATCATAGAACAACCCGGAAATGAAAATGATTTGGAGCCACCCACAACAATAGCTGGCAAGTATGCTTTTACCGAGGGACCGAAGCGGGGGGGGGGGTTAATGTGGGCCACTCGCTCAGCCCCCCCAAGTCATTTTATTCTTGCTACGGGCCAGAACAAAGCCCATCCTTTCTTTCGATTTAATCTTTATGTCTAGGTAGGTTAGTGTAGGTGTACTTGTTTTCGTCTTCTTTTTGACGGAAGAAATCTCACTGGAAGGTGAAAAAGATACCTCATAGGAAAGCTGTCAAAGTGGACGAGGAATCAGTAGAGATAATTTGTGTTTTACGTCTTCTTCATTCATGTAAAATCAAATACAAATTGCCACTTACAAATCTTTAGAGCGAGAGACGAAAAAAAAAGGAGAAAAAATTCGTTGGAAAAAAATATGAAAATCTTATAGCAGCGGTAAGAAAATGAAAAATACTAGCGCCACCAAGGTTAAAAGCAGCGAAAAAAAAGTGAACAGGAACACATGCAACATTTCCTCAATAAAATGTGTAACCTGGAGTGTGTGTAACTAGGAAGTTTCCGGAAGTTTGAAGTTGTAGTCATGCAAAACAACGGCAAAGAACAGTGCAAAAAAATGTGCAGCACCGGCAAAGTTGTTTTTTTTTTTTTCTAATTAGACCTACTTATTATTTTCTTGGCCGTTTTTCGTTGCTGCGATTTAATATTTTGCTTGACTAACCTATAGATATTAACGAGAGCTTCGCTTTTAGCCCTAGCTAATGTATATAAGTGTAGAAAAAGGTATCGCGGCTGTAGCCTGGGAGGGATGGTTCAAGCCAATATTGACTTTCAATTGTTGATACCGGAAACGGCGGAAAGCCTGGGGTCAATTTAATAAATCTTTTACAAGTTTAATTTACAAGTGTAGCTATATATTCTTTTGGAGTCTGAAAACAATAGCTACACTTGTAAAAGTTTTATTAAATTGACTTCTGTATTAAGCGAACTTCTATTAAGTGGTCATCCTCTATCATGGCTCTTGGGCTCAGTCAATTCCAGGCGTGCCCATCCCCCCCACCCCCGGGCATTTGTCGGGCATTTGCATCTTGTCGGTCGCGGAGGGGATTTGTCAGAACACCTCTGCCCGAGGGTGGGGCATTTGTCAATTCTTCTAGAAGCGGTTAACGTCGTTCCTTTTTCAATATTTCACTTAAAAATATGCCTATTTAGTTAGCTTTAGATAGTTCTATAAACTAGCAGTAGCAGTTGGCTAATGCGGGTCAAACCGCCGCCATACGTAGGTGAATTCCTTTTACTGCGCGTCATGAGTAGTGAATTGAACAACAAAGTAAACAAGACTCGTGTAACTATTTAATGGTTGGCATCAGGGTTGTGATGCTGTTCTAAATATCAAACATGGGGGTACTGGGACTACGACAGCCTTTACCTTAGTACAACTTTGTTTACATTGCATTGATAGAGTACTATTCCACCTGGCATATCAAGTTATTTCACTCATGAAGTATCCACTGTTTTTACGATCATCTTTTGCACTCAGCGCCAGTAAAAGTACTAGCACGCCTTTATAAATTCAGGGTCCAGCATTTAATACTCACTTGCAAGATAGCTCGGTTAGCAAACAGTCATAAGTAGCCTCATTCACTAGTTTTTCCACCCTACCCTTCCTGGGTAGTTTTTGGTTGTATACTCATTTCCTTCATGTCTGACAGTCTTTCTGTTTTTACAAATTATATATACCTTTGTTTGTTCCATTTGAGTGTAACTAGTTTTATTACCTTGTTTCATTTTAATATTGTACCTATATTTGAGTGATTACTTATTTACCTGTTGTAATAAAGGCTGTCATAGACTCATAGTCCTAATCCTGTCTGTGTCATGGTTGGTATTTGGTCAACAAAGTATTTGCATTTGCTTATTCAAAATTAGCCTGCGAATGGTAAGGAGCGAGAGAAGACATTTGTATTTTATTCGCCGGCAAAGATACATTGAAACAGTAATGCGTCACACAAGTAATGCGGGTATGCAGTCATGCACGAAGTCTTGTTACGAAATCGAACATTCAATCCGTGTTCAATGACCAAAGGCCGTTGATATGCGATACAAAATAATGAGACAGCTTAAATTACCACTGGAGTTCTCCTAGGACGCTATCTTTCCCGCAAAAGACTCGTTGCAAAGCCTGGAAAGTGTAAACATTTCATACAACTCGCAATTCGGAGTTCTGGATATACGGATATTTGCTTTCAGGGGCACCCAACGTCAATTTTCGGAAAATATCTGTTCGGAAGACGATTTGAGATCTAGAATTGTCGGAACATTTTTTGCAAAATTTCTTGCTTGCCTGCCTCTCCTAGGATTTTCGAACATCTTAAATATGGTATAATTGGTCATTTTTAACGGATTTTTACCCTAAAAAGGTCACCTAGAATTTTCGGGAGCCTTCTTTCTGGCTGAAATTTTCGAAAAGGTAAGTTTTGATCCCTATAATTTTCGAATCACTAGACTTTCAGCTAGGAAATCCGAACAGATAAACAATTTTTAGGGGATAAAAATCTACCGTTTAAATATTAAATACGTTTAACATTGCTGTATTTAAGTGGTTTCGAACTATATTCTCGTTGGGTGCTCCTGTGCTTTGATGGGATCAAGCTAGAATCAAGGGGGATTCTGTTTCTCAAGAAAACCTTTCCGCGACTTAGAAATGGGGACATCGAGATCTATTCACAGGAAATTAGAGGAGATTACTTTAGGGACGCGGCGGACATCGTGGGTGAGGCTTTCTCAAAGAGAGCGGACATTGTACTTGGCTTCATTTTTAGTGTATATTATCGTTTCTGTTTCAAGTTGTTGAGTAATTTTAGAAATCAGTAAATACCTCTTATTAGCCGAGTTTTCGGTCCGTACTGTAAATTACGGACCGAGTTTTTATCCATCGATTTATGGCCCAAGGGCGAAGCGCGCGGGCCATAAATCGATGGCAAAAAACGAGGATCCGTAATTTACAGTACGGACCGAAAAAACGAGGCTAATAAGATGTTTATTATATTGCTTCTTCCTGTTTGGGGGACCGGAAACAAGTGCAGGACGCACTATTTGACAGTCACTTGACAGGTGTCAAAAAAGAAAGTTTTTATTGGCGCACGAAAACAATAGCACGTAAGAAAGGCTTTCCGAGAAAGAGAAAACAAATTCGCCATGTTGAAAACTAAGAGCACTATAAGTTTTAGCTCTTGAAAACGCTGGAGTATTTTGAAAACCGGACACTAGGGCCATTTATACGAGGAAAAATAAGACGCGTCTTACGTAAGACTCGTATAAATGCTACAGTTCGCGTCTTATTTTTCCTCGTATAAATGGCCCTAATGTGTCTGTCTAGAAGTCGTTTCCATATTTCCTCGGTTTGTAAAAAAACATTGACTAAAATTCTCTTTCTCGGTAGGGTTACGATTCAGTTTCTACATCAGCTTCGTTCTGATTAAAACAAAGCTAGGTTAAAATTCGGTGATTTGATAAATGCAAATTTTGCATTTAAGTATCTCTACAGACACAAACAAAAATTCGCAAATAAACGACTCTATATATATACAGACTGAAACTTCGCAATTAATTAATTGCGAGATTTTTACTCACTCACATATACGAAGCAAAATTTTGCAATTAGTTAATCGCGAGGTTTTACTCTAAATACATATTAATTACACCGATACAAATCTCGCACTTAACTATTTTCTTAACTGCGAAATTTCTGTCTGTTTACAGTAAAAGACTCAAATCTCGCAATTAACTATTTTTCCTTGACTGCGAAATTTCTGGCTGTTTATAGTAAAAGACTCAAATCTCGCAGTTAACCATTTTTCCTTAAATGCGAAATTTCTCTGTTTACATGAAAGAACACAAATCTCGCACTAAACAATTTTTCCTTAACCGCGAAATTTTTGTCTGTTTATAGTAAAAGACTCAAATCTCGCAGTTAACCATTTTTCCTTAACTGCGAAATTTCTCTGTTTACATAAAAGAAGACAAATCTCGCACTAAACAATTTTTCCTTAACTGCGAAATTTCTCTCTTGTAATAGTAAGAAACACGAAACTCGCACTTAACTATTTTTCGTTAACTGCGAAATTTCTCTCTGTTCAGAGTAAAAACTATTTTTCCTTAACTGCGAAATTTCTGTCTGTTTATAGTAAAAGACTCAAATCTCGCACTTGACTAGTTTTTCCTTAACAACAACAACAAATATAGCTTACAAAGCTTGTGCCCACAATTTTAATAGCGAAGGCTATTCGAGGCAGGCACAAGAGAAAAAAGAAAATTCTATAAATATATTAAACGAACAATCCTAGAAGCAATCTAGTTTGTCGTGTTGTTTATAGCCAGAGTGAGAGAGGAAGGCAGACTGTACTTCATAGGGAGGACACTTTGCACAAATTAGATATTTCCCGACACAGACCAATTTGTGGTCTTTTTCCAGCTGAATGTCAGCTGGAATGTCAGTCTTTCAGGCTCTGTTATTTGCGAAACATCTTCCCCGTTTTTGCTGTTGGATGAGTGGCAACAAGCTCAACCCCAAAAATGCTAGAAAGCTTCAGTATCATAGCCATCGATTTATCGGTACTTAGTACTTAGGAATAGAGATGAAAAACACAGCTGAACACGTCTTCATGACGAAAATCTTTCTTCGGGCGTGCGTAAATAAAGATTTTGTTCTTAGCAGCTCAATAGGACTTATATAAGGCAAGCACGCGTGCTATGCTATAAAAGCAATTTATGAACCTCGCGATTTTCCTCTTTTTGCTTTCCAAATCAAGTTAGCTTAATGGTTAAACTTACGTACGTATAAGTAGACTTCAAACAGGGAATCTGATAGTAAATCAGTAGTAAATTAAATATCTGCAAGAGCCATAATGGGACCCACTATGACATGCACCACCGATCTCTTTGAGAATCTAATGAAGAAATGAAGCGGCCCCGCCGATGTTGCTGTTGACAATTGCCAGATAATGGCTGGTGAAAATTGCTTGTCCCCAGTTCAAGAATTCATTTGTTTCAACTTACAAAGGATTTTTTTTTATGGTAAAGAAGTCAGAAAAGCCCAGCCATTTTCAGGAATGCTTTGGCTCACCTGGAATTTCGGACACCTTCCTCTCAAGTTTGTCTTTGTCAGTGCCTGAAGGGTCTCCAACACTTTTTAGTTACGTGAAGCATGATTAGGCGATTTATTTCTGGTGAATCATGATTTAAAAAATTTTTATTACTGATTAAAATCACGATGGTTAATTCTGATTTTAAATTTTTTTCATTAAAATCGTTTCCCACTAGGCTCGAAAGACCGGACTCGAGAAGACAAGGAAATTGAACGTACATGTCCACGTGAACAATTTTTTTATTTCAACGTGACCTAGGTGAATGAAGGGTGACATCAACAGATTCTAAACGTGATTCGTGAACCATTTTGTTTTGCGTGATGAATTTTCAAAATGTACGCAATGTTTTCGAAAGACTGTGGTTTGGTTTTGACAGGACATGGAGTTTACACTGATCGATTCACCCAAGATGGAAATCGCCGGTCTTTATACCGATCTTTGTCAGCTAGTAACCCATGGTTACCTGCGAGATTTCTCTTCCTTCATATAAACAGAGACATTTCACAGTTAACGAAAAATGGTTAACTACGAGATTTGTGTTTCTTCACATAAATAGAGAGACATTTCGCAGTTAAAGAAAATGGTTAAGTGCGAGATTTGTGTTTCTACGTATTGACAGAGAGACATTTTGCAGTTAACGGAAAATGTCGAGAAAATGGTCAAGTGCGAGATTTGTATTCCTTTATATAAACCGAGAATAAATTCGCAGTTACCTGAAAAATGGTTAACTGCGAGATTTGTCTACTTCACATAGACAGAGAGACATTTTGCAGTTAACGAAAATGATTAACTGCGAGAGAGATTTCTGTTCCTTCATATGAACAGAGACAAATTTTGCAGTTAATGACAAATGGTTAACTGCGAGATTTGTGTTTCTTACTATAGACAGAGAGAAATTTCGCAGTTAACGAAAATGATTAACTGCGAGAGAGATTTCTGTTCCTTCATATAAACAGAGACAAATTTCGCAGTTGATGAAAAATGGTTAGCTGCGAGATTTGTTTTTGTTACTATAAGGAAAGAGAAATTTCGCAGTTAATGAAAAATGGTTAGCTGCAAGATTTGTGTTTCTTACTATAAACAGAGAGAAATTTCGCAGTTAATGACAAATGGTTAACTGCGAGATTTATATCAGAATATATATATATGCATAGTATTTTTTACTAATTTTACTTTTCACTGAGATAATTAATAATGGTAATTGAACTGCATGAGTGGAGTGCAATTTGGTCTGAAATCATACGCATGATTTCAAGCGCGAGTTCGATTTGAAATCACAAGTCACATCCCAGTCCTCAGGGTTATTCGGTCAAAATTAAGAGCACTGTAAGTATTCACTCGTAAGTGTGACGCTGGAGTCTTTTGAAAACTGGGCATTGTGTCTGGCTGGAACTCGCTTCTATCTCTTCGTTGGTCTTTAAAAAAACCCTGCAAATGGCAAAGAAGCCTGTCAAGATAATCGGGTGCAGGTATGTTTGTTATCATATTTGTCATTTGTCATTTCTCTTAGGCAAAACATCTCGAATCTCTGCCAGTCGATTTTCGTCTTCTTAACTGTGTACTGCGATAAAATTTTCAAACACTGACTAGAATCCTCTTCGATAAGATTATGAGTTAGTTTCTTCATCGCTTTCGTTCACAAATAAACACAGTTTAAAATGTTGAAGGCCAAAGTCAACATCCAAGTCCCCAAGGTTGACATGGGTCTTATAACTTTATTTAAACCTTTTTTCCGAGGTAAAGAGATTTAGAGCTCCGAAATGAGCATTTTCTTTAAAAATTTTGGTCCGTATAGCAAGTTACGGACCGCAAATTGACCAATCGCATGGCGAAAACAGACTCAGCCATATAATAAATAGTATTATTCCCCGAAAACTAATCTGAAAAAAGGTGGCGGCAATTGTCCACTAAAGTAAGAATACATGAATAATTCCAATGATAAGAGCTCAACTCATATATTGTTTGTACATTCAATGAAAGGAAGAGAGACCTTGTTTCCTGTGTATCTTTCGAAAACGTTGCAATTCTTACAATTTTCTTTTGAATCTTATAAATACCCTCGAGGCTTGTTGGATAGGTACTGGCCCATATGATATTGCCGAAGGTCAAGTAAGGGTAAACCAAGGCGTTAAAGATTGCTTGCAATACTCTCGCGGTTATAAACACTATCTCATTCGAAGTTGAATGAGATAGTCGAAGTCGTCCTCATAGAAGAGTACGTTGTTCCTCTCCACGAAGATTTTGAAGCTGGAAGGCCGCAGTTGTGTGGCTTTCCTACGCAAACAAAACAAAAACAAAAACAACTCATGATCGTGAATCTTGAGTTGCGTTTCGACTGTCTTGCCTCTCGTCAATAGCGTAACGTTACAATTTTAATCAAGAAACGAAATAACCTTCTTTTTATCCAAACCGTCCGAAAGCTGCTCTTGGATTTTCCTCTGCTAAACGCCGTTAAAGAAGACTTTTTGAAGCGGACTGTGTCTATTTTGAGCTCTGTCATTTCACAATCAAGATTGCGAAGTTCGCGTGTAAATATTTAACCACTGATATGATTATGAAACATCTCAAGACCGTTGGCTCTCTTGATTGTCATAGTGCTGGCAATAGCAGTCACATTCCACATAATCGAAGCACTGTCAATGATCATGAACAGCGATTGGTAGCATGACTTGAATGGTGAATTCAAAAACATGGAAATATAACTTCTATAAATTTTTAAAATCACTGACTATAAAAAATAAACTTTATAGAAAAAGCTTAAAGACCCCAACACCAGACAATATAAGAGTATAAAAGATATCGAAATAAACTGAACCATCGCATACAAATATCAAAAAAGAGGCACTGAAAAGAAAAGTTTAGTGAAGTTCACAAAGATATAAAACTAACATGGCAATTAATTAACAAAGTAATAAACAAAGGGCATTCAAGGAAATGTTTGCCATAAAGTGTTCTACCAAATGGTGAAGAATTATCTGATCCCCTTATTATAGCTGAAACTTTTAATGGATATTTTGTTCGCGTAGATCCTAATCGAGTAAAAACATACCAGGATCTTCTAAATCGTCTAAACGTACTTAGGTAGAGATTAAGGTGAGAATTTTTTTATCATGCCTGTGACAGAAGACGAAATAGGAAAAGAACTACTAACAAAAGCTGTGGCTTTGATGAACTTCAACCTAACGTTATAAGTAGAGTAGCACACTTACTAAAGCACCCATTGAAAATCATAAATAACAAATCTCCTTTAACAGGCATAATCCCAGAACAACTTAAGGTTTCCTTAATTAGTCCAATACACAAAAATGAGGATGAAACACTTTTTTCCAACTACAGACCAATAGCTGTTCTCCCTCGTTTTTCCAAGTTGTTCTTTTCAAAGTTTCGTGGCTATCGCATTAAAACCAAGGTTATAGCGAAACGTTCGTCATAACTCAATGCGCCGGTATTAATAAACGGAGCCACCTTAAATCCCAGCAATTTATTACGCAAACGTACGCTACATCTTATCGTAACTAATATTTTAACGCTAGGATTTTAAAGCTACAAATGTCAGGTAACATATGATAAGAGGCTTACATGACGGGTATCGTTTTCAGCCGTATTCATACTAGCGAAGGAGGTTGTGACCGGGCCTTAAAAAATTCATTGCATTGTGAAAAGCGCAGTAAAAACCGATCTTTAAGAGGGGTTGCGAGGTGTTTAAAGAATACTTTGTTTCTGATCCGTTTAGCATCGTTTTTAAGTGAAAAGAATACAATAACCACAATGTTTTATCCGAGCTTATATAATATTCCTGGTAAAACACTCTTAGGGCCTGTTTACATGGAGGTGGAGGAGGAAAGCCGCTTACGTAAGGTTACCCGCCTGTGAGTATAATCTCTCATTTTAAATTTCATCAGGTTAACATGACAGGTGGGGTGACCCGCCGAGGCGGGTTGTCCGGTCTGCCAGACTGAATAACCCTCTCAGCCGGGGTCAAATTTTGCCATGCAAACGTTTCAAGGTTGGGTAAGCCGCCTAGCAGGGGTCGAGTTCGAGTTACATCAAATTCGGGCCAAATTCCCTTTGACGGACGCTTTCCATCACTAAAAGTTAAAATAGAAAGCCACAGCACTGAAAGGTTGCAGCAAAAGCAGCAAGTGAGAGTAGAAGAGCATTCAACGTTGTTTACATAGTTAGCGACCATTCAATAATCTTAAGTACACCCGGCTGGAGGAGTTGTAAGATTGCATGTAAATGTGGGTTATTTTTTACCCGATCTGAGCAGGTTAACTCACATACCTGGGGTCCCTATCCTCCATGTAAACAGGCCCTTAACGGAAATCTCCATGCAAATGAGTCTATGAGGAAATGCAGATATGAATGATGACTGCACACCACATGAGTACTGTACCTTACCTAACAGCCACAAATTACGTAAAAAGGAAAAAATGTTGATTAGAAGTAATTACTTCGCAATTTTCGCCTAACTTTTCTTTAAACTTTGTGAAATGCCCTACATATTAAGAAATCAGTCAGCAAAGAAAGAGTTGCTTAAAACTGTCATAATAATATTTCGAGCTAAACGAGGTTACAAATCCCGGGCGATCTACCGGGACGTTTTGTCACATGATTCACAGTATACAGTATGAATCACGTGACAAAATATCCAACTCCATCACTTAAAAAAAAATCCGTGTTGAAGTCGAAAGCTTGTCTATGCTAAGAAGTTTTCTATCCTTGGATTTGAGACTTCGTTTACTATAAAAAATTTGCTATTTGACATAACGGTAAATTTATATCGTAGAATTAAGGTTTGCACATATACATAATTTACAGGGTCCCTACAACATAAACGTTTTAATTCTTTTTTGCTTAAGCAAGGCTAGTTATAATGCAAGTCTTACCCTGTTGTCAACTTCTGTTAAAACAGATAAATGCAACACGTACTTCTCTATGCCACCAACTATTAGATTTCGTTATTTCTGTAAAGCTATTGAATTATGAGTGAGTACGTTACATCTTTAACATCTTAGTCTATGACTTGCAATATTAATACTGTCGAATCCTACGGACACCTCACGGAGGTGGACATAAAGCAGGGTCCCAGCGGCAAACAAACACCTCCCTCCTTTAAGGGAGGATAGATGTACCTCTCTTAAGAGGCCGACACTACTCTGGTTTGACGGTATTGGCGAACTAGGCCTTTAACTTTGATGTCAAAGCAATTACTTCTCAGGCTGCGGTTCGTCAATAGACAAGGTTCTCTGAGATGCTATCATCTCTTCATGCTTTGCTTCATCGTTGCGTCCAAGCCTTTCTAAGACATGGGCAATTGCTCTATGTGTGCGTACGGTCTCCTGATGATTCCCAAGAACCTTGTCTTGGATGGCTAATGCACTTCTTAATGCATTCAGCGCCTCGTGTAGATCTCCTTGGATTGCTAACACCTGTTAAGGCAAGAAAATAGAAAAAAATTGTTTGATTTGTTTTGTTCAACATCGCGGGCGATTTATAAAATGTCGTGAGAATTAGGTGAGTTCACACTAGACTTTTGAAGTGCACTTCAGGTGCACTTGGGAGCGTCGTGTGAACCCACCTATTTAATATTTCAGATTAAGTAAGGGCCTTGATAAACGTTTAGCAGGAACTGTTTACAAGTCAGAAAAACGGAGAAACCGAGACAAAAAAGAGCTCTTGGTGACTTGAAAACGCCTAAACTCCAAGAAATGTGAGTGTCATATTGTAAACACCCGCAACTAAGAGCCTGCATTTTCAGAAGTAAACCTAAACAGGTTTTACATAAATTGTAATTAGAACAAGTTTAGGCTATTTAGGTTCCTAAATAGGTTCATATTTTCTGAAGAAAAAAAATACGTTGTAGCTACAAAGAGTATTTAGTGGTGTTCTGGTCATTCCTTTAAATAAAACCTGTATACCGTTATTATAATTGCAGTTGGAGTAATAACGCACCTATGTCTGCCAAAAAGGATCCTGAAAGTTCACTTATTTGCTAAAGTGTGCAGAATTTTTTTTTATAGATTTTAAAAAATAAGAACCTGTTTCAAATTTTAGGCTAAACAGGTTCTTGTATTGAGGGGGGCTACCTGGCAAATTTTGGCTACGGGTTTTTACTGTACAAGAAAGTCGACGGTATAAAAATGTTTATGCAACAATTATAGCTGCCCTGAGCAAGTACTCACATAACTTACATAATACATAACTTACATATTACTAAATGACTACAATGCTGCTAAATTACTTACAAAATATAATACAGATCTACTATACATACAGTGATACACACATACTAGCAAGCTCTAATTACCTCCTATTAGCCTTCTTTTTTGGTCCCTATACTGTCAATTACGGACCGAGCTTTTTTCCACCGATTTATAGCAAAAAAAAAGAGAATCCGCACCGAAAAAACGAGGCTAATAAGAAGTTAATTATATGACTTCCTATTTGGAGGATCTGAAACAAGTTCAGGACAACCGAAGCTATTTGACAGTCATTTGAAGGTGTCATTTAATAAATGAAAGTTTTAATTAGGTCACGGAAACAATAGAACATTAAATAATCAAAATGCAGATGCGTCATGTTGAAAAAGTTTATTTGGTCAAAACTGAGAGCAAGTAAGTATTCGCTGGCCACTGTGACGCTGGAGTGTTTCGAAAACTGGACATTTGAGTCTGGTTCAAAGTCGCCTCCATCTTTCTTTCGTTGGTCTTTGCAAAAAAATACTGCAAATGGCAGAGACGCTTCTCAAGATTATCAGATGCAGATACGTTTGTTATCGTATTTATCGAACGAATAGCTAGTTTTCCCTTAGGCAAAACGTCTCGAAGCTCCGCCAGTCGATTTTCGTCTTCTTAACTGTATACTGCGATTGAGATTTCAAGTAACTCAATGGAATCCTCTTCTCTGATAAGATTATGATTCAGTTTGATCATCGGCTTTTGGTTAACAAATAAACACTGGTTAAAATGTTGAAGGACGAAGTCAACATCCAAATCCTAAAGACTGATAGACGTCTTATAACTTTCTTTGAACCTTTTTTCGAGATGAAGATATTTAGAGCTGCGAAATGAGCATTCGCTTTTGAAATTTTGGTCCGTATAGCAAGTTACAGACCGCAAATTGACCAAATTAGCCATATAACCGTTAGTTTTTTCAGTGTTAATCTTCTGAATTGCCAATACTGTGTGGGATAAACTGTTTACTGGTAAGATTAAGAAGAAAAAAAGATGCCAAGACGAAGCAATAGTGACTTGGAAAAAGCCGTAACTGGCACATTTTGACGCCAACTGTGATCTGTTACTTATTAAAAAGACAAATGGCTTAATCATCACAGTTAACAGTAACTGTAACCAGGGCCAAACGGTGGTAATATTTTTAGTGAAACTGTTATCAAATATTATCAGCACCGTTTGACCCCGGTGAGAAAAGCTGTTGTGGGCTTTAACGCGATCCTAAACAATCCTCTGGTAACCAAATAGCTAATGTGCATTGATCACAAATTCTACGGCTCGTAACACTAACCTTTCCCAGGTCATGGAAGGAACGTGCTGTTTCTTGATGATCTCCAAGGGCCTGTTTTCTTATGCGAAGTGCTTCACGGATTAGCGAGACTGCTCTGCTGTAGTCTCCCAGTGCTTGGTATGAGGCTCCCATGTCTTCCATTAAGGTGGCAGTGAAAGGATGGTCTCCAAGCAACTCTAGGTACACTGGAAGTGACTTTTCTTCCCTCACTTTATTGGCATCACTGTGAGCTTCATTGAATGCATAGGCAGCTGGAGTAGAGGGAAAACAAAAAATAGCTGTACACTATATTTATAAAATAGTAATGGTCCACATCAGAAGGAAAGAATCAAACGCAATGAACACATCGGAATGCAAAAAGGTGACAACTTTGCTATTGTCTCTGCTATACTTTTGATCGGTTTAAACATCAAATTTCACGAAATCTTTGCAAAGCAGCATGTATATTAATCCCTTGTTTTCCAACCAACTTCCTTATAACAAAATCTCGTCTAAGTCTAAGTAACACAGAGATCCTATGTGAGGAACATGTAAAATTGTCAACTTTTCTTGTCTATTTTTTGCAACTCTTATGATTGGTCGAAATCTTTTAACACAAAAAAACACCTTTCAAAAATCGATTTTAAATACATCTTATTTCCTAAACTACCTTTTTGGAAGATTATGCATTGTCTGAGGGAAAATAAAAACATTCCTATGAGAGGAAAGCATATTGCACCGTAACAAAATAAATTGTTTCCCGTCTAACTCGGATCATTACTTAAATGACTTGAAGGCTATTTTAGTCTCAAACTAACTTCTACAGGTGCTATATGTAGCTAGGAATACACCCATGCATAACTAAATAATGCACAACTTTTCACCAAAGCACCATGTTGACAGAGACCCAGTGGATAATAGCACTATGTTACAAAATGACCTAAGATCGTGTGGCCTGCATGACAGACAGACAGCCTCTATTTTAACTAGCAATCCAACCCAATGCTTGATCACAAATGCCAAAGTTCTTACGTAATTTCTCCAACAAGACTGGATGTGAGACACCATCAAACGCTTTTCGAGAGTCTAGATCTACAAAGGCAACAGCCACTGTGAGACCCGAATCAACAGCTTTTCTCCATGTTTCCGTAAGATGAACAAGCAGGAGTTCAGTCGAGTACCCCTGCCAATAAGCCCATTGTCTGTCTGAAGCTAACCCATGTTCCTTAAAGACATGATGTACCAGGGAGTCATTCACCTCTGATTCTAGGATTTTACTCCGAATACTCAGTAAAGATATTGGCCTGTAATTTCCTACCTCTGTCGCATCATCTTTCTTCAAGCGCTTTACGCGAAACGCGGTATTTTGCGCGAAGCACAAAACGAGGGCACAAGAAAAATATAAAGCCCTTGTAACCGGTCCATTGTTCTGGCTCTTCCTCCCACCTACGCCCACAAATACTGACTGACGGCGGTGATGTCAAAAGGGCCAATGAAAACACGATAATTTACTCGAAAATTGTCACCTTTCTTGCTACCAGAAACACCCACAGCAGCATTAACCACAGGAAATAACAACTACGAGAGCATGAATCAAAACTCAATAATGTAAGACTCAGTGCTGCAAAAATAAGATTTGCTCAGTCAAAGTTTAGTTCATGTCCAAACCTAGGGGCGAAAAAGAAGAGAGAAAACCTGTTGTTCAAATAGACCCCAAGGTAACGTTTTACATTATCACGAGTCGTGTTTGGCCTGTCAACACTTAATTTCAAACAGTTAGTAAAGCAGGCTTTTTTCGAACCCAGTTGGAAGCAATCCAAGAACATCTTTCCTCTTAAGCAATAAATTTAAACATTTCTTTTGTTTTTCCTTTATTTCTGGAACATTTGGAAATAAACGAAGAGCTTTCCCTAACAGCATCGTCAAAAACACATGACTGCCTGACTACTATTTTCTTCCAGAATCTCGCAAGAACAACGCGTAATAAATTAACCAACTGGAGCGCGATGTTCAAGTAGTGAACGTGGGAAGAGCCAGACAGAAACTCATAAGGGGTTTAGAGTTTCTGGCCAGAACAATAGCCTGCGTAGCAGGCGCTTGGAAGTAGTGGGCGCAAAAAAAAACGGGCGCGCGAGAAGGAGACACCCCTCACGTGTCTCCCTCCCTCGCGCCCTTTCTTTCTTGCGCCCACTACTTCTAAGCGCCTGCTACGCAGGCTACCAGAACAATGGACTAGTAACAGGCGCTTTAATTTTTTCAAATGCCAATTTGACGCTGTTTAACGTCGACGCGGTTCAAAAGAGTCTTATGTCGATATTTTACTGAAGCTGGGAAAATAGACATTCCTTGATTATCTTGCACGCATGAGTGCAGTAATAGGCAATATACTAGTTTAATGGAACTGAGTTTTCACCTTGGAGTGAAAGTCTGGAGCAAAAGTCAACGAAAGTTTCTGATGACGTACAGAATTATCAACAGACAAAGTCCGGCTAGTATGGTGTCTTGACTGGCCAAAAGCTCCACTCGCCGATCATGTTGACCGGTCACACAGACAAATCCTCACCAGTAAATCTTAGATTTTGTCTCTTTGTAAAAATACCATCACGTTCATTAATAGAAAAATTGAACAAGGATTAGTTCACTTTTCCCCACTGTTTTGACTAGTCAGAAAACGAGACTTGACTGAGCAAAAACTTCTTTGGTCAGTCATCGTGTCCAGCCACTGTCTGAAAATTATTTTGAACCTTGATACCGCATCACATTTTGTCTATACTTATCACATTCTTTCCTCACCACAGTTCACCAAATTACTAATTTACCAAAGACCTAATCCTATCATACCGTCGAGGTTGGCCATAGAGTCAGTCAGTCAGTGGATAACACTCTCCTCGATCTGCATGATTCCTCAGATCAAACTCAGCCTCATTCAATAATTATTTGCTAATTATCTTAAACTAATGGGTGAACTAAACACAGATTAACATATTATATAGTACCTCCAAGATCTTTGTAAGCAACAGCCACAAAAATCCTATCCTTAAGTTTCTCTCTGATTTCAATTGACTTTCCAATGAGACATATAGCTTGCTCCAAATCCTTTTTCTGACCAAAACAGCGACCTAGTTTGCTCAAGCAAAATGCCCGGACAATCGATGAATCATCCCCAAGCTCTCTTTGTATCTTGTCAGCCTCCTCAAACTTGGCTACAGCAGGGGGGCAAGGAAGATGACAAGCACAATGTGAAAGGATGCAGTATGCTTCAGCAGTCAAGCAGTCACTGTAGCGTTTCATGTCTCCATTTGCTTTACACTGAGCTGTAAACTGACCATAAACTGAGAGGAACTTTTCTTTTTGGAATACTTTGGCTAAGAATGGAAAAACCTCAATAGCTGTGTGAATGCACTTTTCCTTCAGATCTGCGTCACTCAAGGAGTCATTCAAGGCCTGCCTGATATTGCGTCGATTTATCAAAAACTTTTGTGCGGCTTTAAAGCACTTCTTAGTGAGAAACGTAGCATACAGTTCTTTCAGCATGGTTAAATAGTGAATGTTGAACAACTTCTTGGCTGATTGATACATTAGAAGCAAGTCAGTTTCCTGATCCACTGTGTCAAGACAAAAAGACTGAATAATACTGTGTACACAATACTGCCTTGACAAGTGGTCAAACTGAAGCATTGAGTTATCAACAAGATTCTTAAGCAACATTTCAAGTTTATACTCAGTCATGTCTCTAAGCAGAAACTTGGCATCTGGGACAGTGAATGTTGTGGGAAAAACTGATAAAGATATCAGAGCAACTTGTTGGTCACCATCAAGGCGGCTAAAACAGATGCCAAGACAGTTGAACAACTGATGATTATGTGACAGTGTGCTTAGGCTGAATGACTTGAGCGTTGACACTGGGCTCATCTCAAATTCATTAATCAGGGCTTTAGCATCAACTCCCTTTACCAGGAGAGATGCTGTGGTGCGAAGAACCAAAGGTACTCCACCACAGTGAGCAACCAACTGCATTGCATCATCCTCTGCCACATTTGGATCCAATAATAACAGCAACTGTTGAGCATCATCTGGGCAAAGAGAGTCCAAACAAAGTTCAAACATGTCTACTGAAAAAAATGTGACTGACTGTCGTGACGTGATCAAGATTTTGACATTAGAAGATGTTTCTGCAACAACTTCAATGAAGCGGCAAAATTCATCTTTCACCTTAGGAACCAGCATATCCTCTGCATTATCCAGGATTATCACAGAGTAAGTGTTCAATGAACGAAGAAAATGTTTTGCCTGATGGATGGGCTCTTTGCTGGCCACAATTTGACAAGCTCCAAGGAGAGAATTAACCATGCCATTTAATGATGACAAGTCCCTGAGTGAGATGTAGTACACGTGTGACCTTTTTTGTGAGATCAGCTGATGTCCTACTTCTATAGCCACTGCTGACTTTCCAAAACCAGGTGGACCAGTGATAGAAACTATCCTGCAGGGGTTGCTTGGATCCAGTTTATCCAGCACTGTGGCACAGTTCTCTTTTCGTCCCACAAAATTGGGAACTTTACAGGGAATCCCACCCAAGTAGTTAAAAGCCTTGGTTACAGTTCCTCCTAATAAATCACAGAAAAAAAAATGTAATAAGTAATAATTATAAGTATTATTCACTGAAGTGGAGGTGGCTATAGGTGGATATTTACTACCACCTCTAGCCACCAACACTGAGGGAAAGAATTATTGTTTTATTAATACACTAAAACATTGAGATAATTGAGCACATAAATGCTGCCAAAGATTACAAATTATTTTGGTGAGCAAATGGCTGTCACGTTTTCGAATTCTTGCAAATAAATAAAAATTTTGAAGGCATTTGTTTAGCTCCTGCGGGAACATTTCCTCAAAAGGAGTTGTGTATTTTTTGTAAAAAAAGCATTTACCGGTACTTACCCGGTAGTTTTAAGCTTATTTATGAACATGCCAGCTAAATAAAGTTCAAACACAAGACTTAATTAGCATTTTTAAACAAAACATTTTTTCACCAGTTTTCAATTTATTGAGTTCATTTTAACTCATGAAAGAAATTGGCCTGCTCCCATGGGTATGGGTCTTCATAGCTCAGTTGGTAGAGTACTGCAGTGCTAACGTAGAGGCCATGGGTTCAAATCCCACTGAAGCCCCGAACTTTTTTCGCCATTTACAGTGATGTCAACTCTCCCACTTTTGGCCGGAGAGACTTATGCATTTTTGCCTCGTCTCCCGCTCTGGTACATAAATCTCCCTCTTTTTACGTCCACTATAAATATTGAATACTAAATAAAGCAGACTTAGTTTGAGATTTAGCCCATTTTTAGCTCAAAACTTGAATTTTTCTTATTCGCAGTACGGTTTCTGGGGCATTTTTGCACATATTTAGTCACTGACAAAGATTATTTCTACCATCAAAATTTTGATAGTATGTAAATCATGTAAGACGTCATATAATGTCCTAAGTCATTCCCATTGGGGGCTGGGTCAATTTTTCGGGGGGGGGGGGTAGTGAAAAAAAGGCAGTCTCCCGATTTTAGGTCTCCAGAGGTTGGCATCTCTGCGTTTATTTGCAATAATTATTGTTCAAATTGCAATTACCGCTGTGACAATCATATCTTCATTTAAATATGTATTTCTGCAGTTCACAAGTTGAATCTGCTACGAAGTTTTCATTGTCTGAGTAACAATTGTTTAGGAACACTGGTTCAGATACAAGTATTCTGCCCATTTGCTCCACAGTCTGAGGAGCTAAAGGGAAATACACTTCCATCTCTGAGGGAAACCAAATGTAAGCACACAGTATTTCAGGGCAAGATTTCTTCCGTAAATTCAAAATGTGTTCATCTTCACTGTATTGCACCAATATTGCACCTTTGTTAATGCTTTGGTTTTACTATCTCTTAGCCCTTGCAATGACTTAATGTTTTTCTACCTTCTCTTCCAGCTTATACAAAATAGGCCATTTCTGAGTTTAAAAAAAAAGAAATCAAGCCCAAAACTATTCTGGTGGAGGATGGGTACTCCCTTTAACCCTTTCACTGCAAGAGTGTTTGATGGAGTTTTGTAAGGTGACTCTCATTTTTTAATCTGCAGACAAAATCCTATGATGTGGCTATTCAAATGAAAGCGGTACTTACACATGGCCTGTACTTACACATGGTGCTATTTGTTTTTCAAAATTTCACAACATGAAATTCGGAAATTTGGTCGAAATTTGCTTTCGGCTAAATTTGACAGTCAAGGGGTTAATGGCCTATATTCCTAATTGGGAGGCTCCACCTGAAAGGGGTACCTTTTTCAGACTTGGTTTATGAAAGGGTATGGATTTCAAGAGCCGAAGCAAATGAAAAGGCCTCTAATGTATCAAAATGTTTCAAACATTGCCTAGTCCCTGTACGGCACTTTCTCATGCCGTCTCTGTCAATTCACTTCTATCATAATATCCAAGGCAAACAGGCGGGAAATGCCTAAACAAAAACAGAAAATTGCGCATGCATGCATTTCTTTTGGAAAATATCAAACTTTCTTGACCCCCTTAAGATGTTGCAAACAGCAGGAAATTATGGTTTTAAGACCCAAGTCGATATTTGCGAAACTTAGTAGATTGACTTTTGCCAACTTTGAAAAGTCATATCATCAGAATATCATTTATATCCCTGTGAAGTCTGATTTCTCCTCCTTCAATCTTCTCAGTCTAAATGAACATGTATTGGAGTTTGTTGCTCCTAAATACCTGATTTTAAAATAAAAAGACCTCACAAATTTTCAAAGTTATCACGTCTTCAAAGACGATACTTTAGTGACCCTCCTTGTAGTGAACTTATGAGTGCAAATCTTGAATAATCAGAAAACCATATGCTCAAATAAAAGTCATCGCTGCATATCAAAAAGTGCAAAAAAACTGAACATAAATAAAGTAAAAATTCTAAAAAAATTTACCAACATAATACAGGATCATGTTTTGAGCTAATGTAATCAATGAAAGAACACACAACAACAGACAGAGAAACTATTTCTCGAAAAAAATGATTCAGAAAGCCATAAATGAATCCTTAAGAGCAATTATATGCATAACACTGACTGGCTTGTGGATCTGTTCATGCAAGTAAAATCAACATGGCAAAATTCAACACAAATCTCAAAATTAATTGGAGGGCCCAAGCTTATCTCAAAATGTATATATCGTATAAAGATATTTACAAATGCATAACTTTATTTTTTAAAAACGTCATTTTGTTGAGTATAGAGTACAAAATATACCTCTAAATTCTTCAAAAACTTAATTCGCCACTTGGTTGCATTTCAAAATATGCCAAGCGCTGGGCTGTGAAGAAAACATCAAATTCCTCCTTTGTCCACCAAAAAAAACTGAGCATTCTTTCGAACTTTCCCTCCCATCTGTGTCTTTTCATGGTATATTTTTAACCTTGAAATGTGAAACTCTCAGGTCTTGAAAACCACCACATGGGATGTCTCACTTTTGTCTCACCTCTACAAAAATTTTGTCTAGGCTTCACTTCTTCGCTTAAACCATGTGACCCAATTGCCTGCACAGAATAATGTAGCCTTGGGACTACGCAATTTGAAAAGCACTTTAGAGAAACCTAAGTGGGTACATGTATGTGAGAGAAATACCATTTTTCATTAAAAGGTATCAGGAGCCAATCAATCTGCTCAAAGGGGTACTTTTTCAGTCCATAATGACGTTACATAATAGTTGACAGGCAGAGCCTACCCTTGTAAAACGTTGTTGAGAAAGGAAAGCTTTTAGGATATTAGGATTAGGTGAAAGGAAAGGTAGGTGAGGAATGGAACAAGATTTTCATTGAGATTTTCAGGTCAATGTCACATGGTTTTTTGCTTCTTTCTCCGGTGTCCTTGACTGAATTGTGCTCATTCTGGTATGGTTTGAAAGATCTCTTCACTCTGCACAAGTTAGCGGACAAAATTGTCCTTGGCCGTCAAAACTGATGACGTCACAAAGGGTAGAAAGGACGTGGATCCGCACGGGCGGTTACAGGCGGTTCAGGGGCGAATGGGTTAAGCTTAACTCCTGCGTTACTTTATTTAGTTGACTTGTTCATAAATAAGCTTAAACTAAATTTAATAATCTTTTTTACAGAATGATTTTAAATATGAAAAGAATTCACAACTCCTTTTGAGGACGTTTCCCTGGAAGAGCCAATCAAATGGCTTCAAAAGTTTTATTTGTTGGCAAGAAAAAACGACGACCGCGGCGTTCGGTCATTGCGTGCCAAAATTGTAATTGTCAGCAACAGTAAATGAGTTAAAAATCATCATTTTTTTGCTCAATTATCTCACCGTGTTAGTATGTACTGAAACAATTATTCACTTCAGTGTGGTGGTGGATATTTAGCTCGCCGCTTCATGTCCTTGGTAAATTTTCCACCACTAGCCATCTCCACTTCGGTGAATAATATTATTATCTAAACCTCAGTGGGACCGATAAATTTCAATAAGAGAGCAAAAACCAAAATAAATTCTGCTAGTCGTAGTCAAATATAATCATTGTGAAAATCGCCTATTCATCTTCCCTTCTGCTTCTGCTTACCCCATGCTCCCCATGCTCCCCCTTCCCCCTGCCCTCCCAGGAGATGACTGCTATGAAGGATATAATGAGATCAATTCCCAGCAACAACCCTGCCAACATGCAAAAGTAATTTCTACATTCATACCATAATTAAGAGTCCTCTGTTTAAAGTCCAGTCCAAATCTTCTATGACAGCCATCGGAATCCACCCACCCAGCAGATATTTCACCTGACAGCCATGTGAATTGTTAGCTGGGTAAGTCTTCTTCAGAAGTGTTAAGCGGGGTAATTCCGTGTTATTATTTTAAAATTGAAAGAACTTTTTAAAATGTTCCCAGTAGGACGACATTAAGGTGATGGTTGAGCAAAGCCATGAACACGTATTTTTGCTACTATAGTTGCCCATAAAAACGGATCGCAACTCATTACAATTACGCTCACATGGCCAATAAAATGACTGTGTACAATACATTTCATATCCTAAGGTGAAAGAGATAAAGGAGGCTAAAATTATAAAGTGCTAATTTCCCCACCCATTAATCTTTTTTTATATATTAAATCAAAATAAGCTAAGACTTTTTTTGTTTTCTAGGATCTCAACCTCTTTCCATCTCCAAGTGAAAAATCAAAAGACAGGAACGTACCTTCAACACCGAGAAGACGATTATTCAGATCGTGCCGATTAATATGGAAAAGTAAAGTAGAAAGTGGGTCCTTATTCTGTTCGCTGAGATCGCAGCAGCGAATGAGTTCCAGAAATAACTCGCGCGGACGAGTCAAATTTTCCAGGTGACTGGCTGGGATAGTTCCCTGGCATAAAAACTTCAAATTCTCGAAATCTTCATCCGTTAAGTCGCGACCAATTGAAAGAAGTAAAGACAGAAAAGTTGGATCTCCTGATTCCATGACAAAATGAAACCTTTTTAGCACCTTCCATAAGCGAAGACCCACTGATACTGGTTTCGAGTTCAAGTTTCGAGTGGAGGGAATTAGTTTCCAGTCTCTCCGTGCTTGTGTTTGACGTTTCGTCCAAAATGGCGGACCAGTTTGGGATTGAGGAATTGTTGAAAACGGGAGTAAACGGTACAATGTTATATTTTATTGGCTTCGTTTAATATTCCTCGCAAATCAGTTAACTGCGTAGGAAGAAGTACGTCGACCCAAGAAAGATTGCAAATGGACATAAGCTAAGCTGATGTGTCATGTATATAATCTAAAAAATATTGTACAAGTGATGTGGTAAGGTAAGCTTATAAGCTGACAATAATGTGCATATAATTGACTCTGTAGTTTTTTCTACATGTCTAAAACACTTCATTCATTACAGAAAGATGATTCTGTGCTTAAAGGTGGAATTATCAAGAACTCATTCTGGTGATGCGAGATTTGCAATAACATCAAGCTAAATTAACCTCAGAATTGCTTAAGCTTATACAATGGATGCAAGTCACTTTTTTAGCATTAAGGGCAGCTGAAACTATACATGGCTACCACGGAGCATGGAGACATGCTTCAAAGTACACAAGATTCACTGCTTGAAAGCATAACGCAAATAGAGAGCAGTAATCCCGTCAATAACTACGAAGAACTCAGATATTTTGAGCAGTCACAGAAATGTGGCACTTATCAAACCAACTCCAACATATCCTTTCAATATGAGAATCAGACTGGAAATTTGACTGATGAACCATTAAGGAATTTTCTGGAACTCCCTGTAACTGATCCCTTACCGTCTGAAGCCACATGCTATGGTGGGCTACTTTTAGTCTGGGGCTGTGGAGAATTTGGTCAACATGGCCATGGGCATACTGAGGATGTACCAAGACAGTATGCTCTAGAGTTTCCCTTGTGGCTAGGTCATGACAGGACAGTGACGGAAGTATCTTGTGGGTCTAGTCATACAATGGTCCTCACCGGTAAGACCATAGTTGAATAATCTGACAGCTACTAACCTCACTTGAACTTTTTTCTTAAAATTATTTTCTCAGCGTCTTGCTATTCTAATTGAAAAAAATTATATGAGTATACAAAATGGTGATGTTTTTTATGACCTCAAACACCTGCGGGTCAGTCAGATTTGATTGTTATAGTTTTTTATATATATAATAAATAAACTTAAAACACCAACTGCACCTTTCTAAAAGTGGCCAGAATTTGCCTCCAACTGTTGAATACTTGTTTATCCAGAGAATGGGTTTTACCTGCAACATAGCTATACTATTTAGATCCCTGTGTGAGGAGGGTGTAAGGGTTTGTGGTGATGCTCGACTTTTTGTTCAATTTTGTGGAAATTTTTATGTTATGTTGCAGTATTGTAGTTTTACAAAACCAAACGGTTTGTGGTATTTAAAAATTTGGGGGTAATTTCAATGTGGTTTACGGTTTTCTTATGTTATTCTGTGCGGTGTTTATATGTACTTCTGTGCAGTGTTTATACGTACTTCTGTACAGTTTTGCAGTATTTGTTCTTCCCTTATGTCCCCCTCCTGTATGTTTTCCATGTTTGTCAGTTTATTAAGGTGGCTGAACACGGTTTTGGCGGTTTGTGAGTATACATCCTTTGCAAAATCATGGCAATAGAATGGTTGCAGATAACCAAGCTGAAACTTGGCAAGTGAAAAATATACTGATGAAAGATTTTTATTGGCAGGTAAAATGTGACGTTTTCGTAATTATGAAATGGCCTCCCATATCTTACAAAAGATATTAAGCATCTAATGAGAAAATGGGACAAACAACATGCTTGCAAAGATCCATGATACAAAGGTCTTAAACATGTGGTGCAGAAAAAGCTTCGATCTGCCTACTACCAGTATGTAGAAGATATTATTAATCCATGCAATAATGACAACCCTCTTAAGGTTAACAAGCATTTCTTTAGTCTACTCAACCACGCAAAATCCATGCAAAATCCATCCCCTGAAAAATAACTTTGATATCTGATCCCAAGGGAAAGGCTTCGCTATTAAACACTTATTTTCAATCAGTATTTACCAGAGAGTCACCACTCAGCCTAAAGGAACATGGTCAGAAAACGATCCTTGACAACACACAGGAAGATAGCTTTCAGTACCCCACAATGCCAGAAATCATCATTACTCGTGATGGGATCATTAAACTTCTGAAGAGTTTGAAATCATGTAAGGCAGCTGGTCCAGATGACCTCGTGCCTGCTGTCTTAAAAGAGCTATCCACTGAAATTGCACCTGTGCTTCAGAAAATTTACAGCAAATCCATTCAAACCCACATCATCAGCACTGAGAACTACAGACCAATCTCGCTGACTTGCATTTGCAGCAAGATCTTAGGACATATAATAACAAGCTGCATTATGTCCCACCTAGAGGCAAAAAACACCCTTTATCCATTACAGCATGGATTCTGCGAGAACAGGTCCTGTGAGTCACAGCTTCTTGAATTCATCACAGACCTTATTGACACCCCTCAAAACGCTAAGCAAACCGACGTCAGCATAATGGACTTCCCAAAGACCTTTGGCAAGTCCCTCACAACCGGCTATTGTTGAAACTTAAGTATTACAGCATCAGAAACAATACCTTAGACTGGATTAAGAACTTACTGAATAACCGGCAGCAAAATGTGGCTGTAGATGGAGAAAGTTCAGCTCCCACCCCAGTTCTTTTGGGCGTCCCACAGGGATCAGTCATTGGCCCTACTCTCTTTCTATTTATGTCAACTATTTACCCAATGGTATAAAATCAAAGGTCAGGCTCTTCGCAGATGATACCATCATGTATCTCACCATTAACAATAGTGACAACTGCCAGCAGCTCCAGATGACCTAACCCTTCTACAGAAATAGGGAGAAGAATGGCAAATGCAATTTAATACCTCAAAGTGTGAAGTACTCTGTGTCTTCCATGCATGCACCCAGATTCCCTTCACTCATGTATCGAACGGTGTTCCACTAACAGAGACTGACCATGCTAGATACCTTGGCACTCACATTTCAAAAGATCTGAAGTGGAATAAACATATTGATGTAATCACGGCCAAAGCAATTCGCTCCCTTGGCTTCCTGAAAAGAAATCTGAAAGTGTCGTCCAGTTCATTACGTGAGAAGGCATATATAGGCTTTGTGCGCCCCCAGCTTGGACATGGCTCTACAATCTGGGACCCCAGACTAGGTGTTGAAAACAGTGGTGCTCTAGGGTGGAGATGGTTCCAAGGGATGCCTCAAGGTGGACTTTAAAGAGATACCACAACACTTCTAGTGTCACTGATATGCTAGATAACCTGGGCTGGAGAACTCTGGAGCAGAGGAGAGCTGACACGCGGCTTGCACTCCTTTTCAAGATCTACAACGGACTCATACCAGTCGATGCCAGAGAGTACCTGAGACATCCAACTCTGACGATCCCAGCACTCTCACAGCTACAGCTTCATTCCTTTATCTACCAGTACCTCCTCTCATCGTGTCTCATTCTACCCTAGAACAATCACTCAGTTGAACTGTCTGCCTCAGTCTTTCTTTGAGAATACTAATTTACCTAAATTTAAACAGTCCATTTCTTCATTCAATCACAGTCCTGTAAACTAGAAATGTACTTTGCATTTTTCTTTCTTTTTTCTTTTTTCGTAATATTTAGCTGACCTCACGTCATCAATGTTCGGCTTCGAAGGGTAGGTTTTACTGGTAAATAAGTAAAATTACTAAATAACGTGAATGATTGAATACAACCAAGTAAAATTCCACTTTTGCTCAGTTTACATAAAATTCGCTCATGAGATTTTCCTATAAACTTGCATACAGCTTCCCATAATTGATCATCACCATTTGAAACTTATTTGACCAAATTTTAACAGATGGGTTTTTAGATAATCAGTTATATAATATTATTGTAATGTAATTATTAAATGTGTCACAAAATTCATCTGTTCAATATCCATTTTAAAGTTCTCATTATTTAAAATACAGTGGAATCCTGATTTCTCGAACCCTCGGTTTCTCAAACCTCCCAATATCTTGAACCAAACCTTGTTTCCCTTGGATTTGTTTCACTCAAGCTCTGTAATAGTATATTTAAGGGAAAATTAAGAGACGTAAATTTCGATTGAATTTAATTAGCGATTTTCTGTTTTTACACACGGCGTCCTTGAAAAGCAGGTGTTTTCTTTTAATCTTTATTATTTTAGTTTTTATCTTAGATTTTAGATTAGTTAGGAAGTTAGTTTTTCTATACGTCAATGTAAATGTATACCTGAAGGAAATACCGTGTTTAAATGAAGTTACCTTACCTTACCTTACCTTACCTTAATTTCACCCCCGATTTCTCGAACCCTTGATTTCTCGAAACACCCGATAACTCAAACCAATTTTGGCTCCCGTGGAACAAAATTGACCCTCAATAACTCGAACCTGCAAAAATTTCGAAACCACTTAGTACGGACATCAATTACATTCATGCCTTTAAACAAATTGACAATTCCAGATAAGCTGTTTTCTTGCATTTTAATCACTCAACAAGCCACAAATCCATCTGTCATCAGTCTGAAAGGTACAATGACTGTGTTCTGTTATGTTCTATTTTTGTTTTTTAAGTACAGTATGTTTTGTTTATGAATGAAGGTCAAGATCTACATCAAAAAGGATGTATTTTTGTTAAAATTTGAACACTTACTCATAATCACACAATATCCGACCAATTAAGCATAATTTGATGCCACTTTTGATATCTCGAACTCCCGATTTCTGAAACCAATTTGCGTTTCCTCTGGAGGTTCGAGAAATCAGGATTCCACTGTGTGATAAAAATAAAAATTCTGCCAAAAATCACAACATTTTAATGGGTAGATTTTGAGAAATCGTCTTCTGTTTACCACTGCTTTTTTTGTTGCCATGTTTGTTTGTCTAATTTAACCCATTCACCCCTAAGCCGCCTGTAACTGAGTATGCCGATCCACGTCTTTTCTACTGCTTGTGACGTCATCAGTTTTAACCGTCAAGGGCAACTTTGTCCACTAACGCCACCAAATGAAGCCCACCAAATGTCCAGCAAGAGAAAAAAAATGAGGAAAGAAAAGCGAAAAAAGAGGGAAGGAGAAAGCAAAAAGTAAAATCTCAAAATTTTGCTTTCTGTGCATTCCCGAACTACACAAGCTAATATTTTGCATCTGGATCAGAAGGCCGTAAAGTGTATGACCTGTAAACGGTTTTGTGGTAAGTTTTACCCCTTTATAGCATGACAGTGACCAGAAAATCACTTGACTAGCTTCAAAATGCGTTTTTCAGCAAAATCTCCAGAAGCAAATGGGTTAAGCAAAGTACCAAGCTTTTTGAGAAAAATCCACCTTTCAGCATAAAACAACCAAATCTGTCTATTTAATGTAAAATCAGGTGAAAAAGTCGGTAAAAGGTGATTTTTAGGTTTTTTGATTAAAACACATGCCGTCACGCGAGTTACTGTTGACCACCGGCAAAGCTGTGTTCAGCCACCTTTACAGCTCTGAATTGAGTTTGTAACCCCAAGTCATTAAATTGAAATTTGTTGTAAATGTACATGAAGGTCTCATACAAGTAAATAAGATTAAAAGAATGACATCTTTACTGAAAAAAGTCCTCACTGAAATACATATAAAATTCTAAAGTGGCAGATTGTTTCACCAAAAGGTCCTTATTATCTATAGAACAATGTGACATTACATTGACATTGTGATACACTTGGACACTTAAGTATTTGCTATTTATTAAAAGACTGCATGGTGATATTCTGATAAAATTTTGCATCAACAACCTTTCTCTTGGGAAAGAATTTCACACAGAGGCATCATTAAGTACAGCCAGCATTAGTTCTTCTAGTGTACATTCTGTGCTAATTTATTGTCTTAATTGGACAACAAAACAACAAGTGAGTGGGTACAAAGGTATATTGATTTTGGTGACATATTAACTTGAAATTCACCTTGTCATGAATTATCCCTCCACCCATTGCCCTCCTTCAAACAAGGTGCTACTAACTACTGCTACTGTTCTTATATATTAGATGATAATAAGGTGTACAGTTGGGGCAACAGTAACAGTGGCCAGCTAGGCACAGGGGACATAGAGACATGTGCACATCCTCGCCTAGTTCACCTGGGTGTGTCTTTAGGTACCAAACTGAAGGGAATCACATGTGGAACACGACATAGCTTTGTATGGACACAAGATGGAGACTGTTTCAGTTTTGGCAATAACTACAGTGGACAATTAGGATATGATTTCCGGAAACCTGACTTCAAGGAAAATCAGGTCTTGAGTTTCTTGTTATCTAATTCCATTCTCCTAACTACTGACTCTATTATCACAACTTATATAATGCATAGAACTCACGTATGTGACCTTGGAATCTGCCTTGAAAAAATATCTATTTGGCAGACTGTTAAGCATTAAATTTTGTTTGAAACATTCCTTTCTTTACACTTACGTCTACTAATATTAAAGTTGTTTTTAATTGTGGCTTATTATTATAACTTATTATTCCATACTATTGTATGGCTACAATAATACGCACACTCTGATTGGCTGCTAAGTGGGCATTATTGTCTTGTAATGACTGGGCATTACTAGCTAGGTGTCCAAGGTATATGGGATATATACAATCTGTGTTAAACTTGATAGTGAACATCCTTGTTATGGTCAACTGACAGCTGTCAAAAAGGGTAAGCGCTGACCAGTGTCACATGACTGTACCACAGGCTCAAGTATACAACTCCTTCAGATGATGTGTTTTTTTAGAGCTGTCCACTAACAAGTTACTATCACAGGCTCAGGTCCATAATGAAATTAGGCGGTATGACAAATAACTTATTAATTCGGTCATTACAGGGAAATCTCAGACCTCAGCCTTGATGTTTTGACCTCTGTATCACTCAGTCAATACATCAAGGCCTCGGTCTGAGATTTGCCTGTAATGACCTCACTCGCGGTTAATAAGTGGTATATAATTTTATTAAATGGTCAGATGCATTAAGTCAGGAAAAAATATTGTTGAAGTTACAAAAAAAATGTTGATTTATAAATGCATATGTCTTGTGTGCTTAATAAGCCCTTTCAAAAACTTGCATATATAAGGCTTTTCATTTTAATATCATTAACTTATATTGATTTTATAAGTGTTTTGTTTTCACATCTGTAGCTACGACCAGTTTTTGTGGATACTCTGTTGCGTCGTCCAGTATCTCAAGTTGCCTGTGGTTCACGTCATTCCATCTTTTTGTTCACAAATGGTCAAGTGGCAGCTGTTGGTGTTAACAACAGAGGTCAGATTGGCTGTGGTGATACAGTTGATGTTGTGTGTGCTAAGACAATCCCAGAAATACCACCAGTCTCAGTGATTGCATGTGGTAACAGTCATACTCTTGCTGCTGATGGTATGTTTCTTTAACATGAATTTGTAAGAGGTTATTTTGTCATTTGCAACCCTTTCTGTTTTTGCTTTTTAGGTGATGACCATTCCTTTTGCAAAGTTTAGTTCACCAACCTTGGAACCTTACTGCATTCATTATCAAAAAATGTTTTAAAAAAATACAAATGAAAAAGCACCTCTGGAACCAATATTGAAAGGTTTTTTTAACTTTCAAAAAGAGATTTTATTTTTTCATTTGTTTTATATCTCCACATGTATGTTACCTCTACTTACTATGGTCATTTGCTACAAAAAAGAAATAAAAATACAGGAGACAAAATAAGTTACCAGAAAAAAATACTAATGAGGAGACCTAAAAGAAACTAGAAAGCTAGAGGTGCTCAAATAGAATCAGTATCTTACTGAAGTCACTAAAAAAGTGAAGTATTTCTAGGGAACTGCCATAATAAATCAGTCCCTGTTAAATAAAATGGGATATTATTTTTTGGCCTTGCTGAAACAATAAGATGCAGTACCATGGCAATAGCAATTGCCATGGTACTGCATCTTGTATTGTATCTAAAGGATTGATCCCTTTAGATACAAAGCTTTGTTTTTTCAAAAATGCAGGGCTGCCATTAAGAGGTGGGGACTGGGGATTTCCTCTGGCTACTATGAACGTGGTCCCCGGTTACTTTCAAAGGAAAATAGAAGAAACATAGAATCAAAAGAAACCCCTTGCTGTTTGATTCCTTGCCTACTGGTTGTATTTACCTGGCAACTTGACAACTTAGTGACAACCCTGAGAATGTGAACTCGATGGAACATTATCTTGGAATGACTTTTGACTTAAAGATGATCCAACCTTTGTTTAGATGCAGTGAGTAGATGTGCTTTGTTTGTCTAATTTCTCTTTATTGGTAGTATATGGACATGTTTATGCCTGGGGTTATGGTAAAGCATGTGGATTCAAGACAGATGTCTTGTCACCGTTATGTGTGTATTCATGCACAAAACATGATAAACTATTAGACATGGCTGGTGGAGACTCTCACTCATTGATTCTTCTTTCAAGTGGAACAATTTATTCCTGGGGTAATAATTTTGAGGTAATGTTGATGGAAAATGTACTAATTATCGCACTTTATATTTCTGCTGGACTTGAATCAAAGTAAAAAATAATATTAAATACACATCAAGAAAGAACACAGCCAGTTTTTACTTTAACTGCATAAGTAAAAATTGTTGCCTCAAATCGTTTACATACATTCAAAACAAATCTCCAATACATCATTTCATGTTTTTTTTTTTCAAAACCACTGAAAAGAGTGCCTAACATTAGTAAATCTGCCAAGTTTGAAAGTGGTATGTCTAAAGCAACCGAAGGTGTAGCTCCATCTAGTCAGTTATGAAAATAAATTTACAGACTTGATGTATGGTGGGGAGCAAGTTGTTGCCCCCCCCCCCTCCCCACCGTTCAAACTTCCACAAATTTTGTGACTTTGTGGAGATTTATGCCTTCGTTCCTTTTCGACAAATCTCTCTCAAACTTAGTACTTTTTCCTATTTTAAGGCAGCGGTGGTGGCTGACTTTTAATACCTTGTCCATGTCAAAAGTTGAGAAAATCGGAGAAGGGTTTATTTTTAAAGTTTACCAAATGTTGTCAGCAAAAAAAGAAAGATTTCTGCCGAGAAAAGTTTTGTAATAGTAAATTCCCTAATTGCTCTGCGCCGTTGCAGCTCATTTAGTTTCTACAAACATGATGACAGTGGTATATTGTTTGATTTTTTTGAGAGAAGAAGCAGTTTGTTTCACAAAGAACAACAATATAAATTTGTTGTGGCCATATTGAACATCAGTGTCATAACGCTGCACATTTATTATAGGGCTTTTTCAAAGAGTGTACAATAACTCTGGAATCGTAACTAAATAATTGTTCATTGGCGTAGGGTCAACTAGGACAAGGAAAGTCTGTGAAGTTTGTTAGTCACCCAAGAGAATTGTGCTTCAACCTTCTTCCAGGAAAAGTTACTAATGTATCTGTTGGAGAAAACACTTGTGCTGCAGTAACTGGTAAGTTAGCAGTTACAAAAATACTGCAGCTGCGGTACAATACTTAATAATATTATTTCTTTCCAGAATCAGAAAGGTAGCCACAAAAAAACGATTTGATTGACACATGTGCTTGGAGAGGTAAACATTTCATGCGCAAAAGTTAGATCTCTAGAGAATAATTCAAACATGGCAAATGATAGCTAACAAATCAGATTGCTTAAAACACAACGATCACTGTACTAGAGCTTTTTTTGTCGCGTGTGTCGGGATGCTTTCGGTGTCGGCCACATAAAAGGTCACTGAGTGTGTATGACTATATGAAACAGGTTACTACCATCTGAGACTCTATTACCGCTGTTTGAAGAAGTCTGTAACTTAAAGCGACATTTTGTGATCACTTACAACTTATTCGTTTCATTACAGATGATGGCAAGTTATATATGTGGGGTAAAAACTCTAATAATGTGATCCGAGATGATGAAAATGGCAGGTTTTTTCAGTTTGAACCTCACCTGGTTTCTCTAGGAGTGTGGAAGGCATTGAAGGTAAGTTGTACTATCTTTTATTCAAACAGCACTTTAGAATGCTAAATACTGGGGAGCCCTGGCAGTATCCACATACCTTCTCCAGACTGATCTCCATACATTGCTAGCTGGGAAAATTAATGTTGATCACTCTTGGGACTTAAAGGATTAAAATTATTAGTACCACGATTTCTTTCGAAGGAAGTATTGGAGTTTTTGTTTTTACGGTTTAACAATCACGCTGCCAACCAGAAGCGCGTTGGTTCTTGAAACAAAAGATTCTTTTGTTTCACTCGTTACAAACTGAAATAACAAACATAATGTTTGTAGACAATGATGTCTCCTATATGATATATCGTTTCTTTTTTTCTGTTTTTACCGTTTTTTAGTTATTCTTTCTTTGGTGAAGTTTTGGCATGTTGCTATATTCGTGAAATTTGGCACAATTTCTGCAATGTTTTGACTTAGTCACAAAGACGTCTAAATACAAAATTATTTCGAAAGTCTTAAGTGGGGTTTGTGAATTTGATCCTTTTTTATCGTTGAGGTCTTCGAATTTTTTTTGTTTGGATTTTCTGTGGGTTTTTGTTTTACGTTAGTCAGCCCAATGTCCCATCTCTTCCCCAAGTGCACGAGTTGCGATCAAGAGTGATTGCGGTTGTTACATGTCTACACTCACAACCTGTCCTCGATGTTATGTAAAGTGTGGATTGTGACTTTCAAATCTTGTTTTTTACTCTGCTTTATCTAGGTGTCTTGTGGCTCTTGGCATGTTGCTTGTGTGGTATTTGCGGCTCAAAAACACCTGATAAATGAGGCTGACCAAGAAATATCTGAAACTGCTAAAATTATTGCCAACAGTGAACTGGATACCGACCTTAAATCTAGCGTATGCAGCGTATGTGAGACTAATGGTAAGCAGCTCTTGGAAGAAGGAGAGTTTGCAACAGCATCTGCAAATGATCCACCCAGGGAAGAAGGCTTTCCAATCAACTTTAACAAAGAAGAAGAAAACGTTTTCGCAAATAACTTAATTGTTGGGGAAGAAAATGAAGCAGAAGATGCATCATTGGAACCTTTTGATTCTAGCAAAGATTACTGTGTAGAAACACAACACCACAGAGAAACGGATGATAATTCAACTGCTGAAGAGTTTAATAGTAAAGCTGATGCTGATGCTGATGTTGATACTAAAACTGAGATTATTGGTGATGTTACACGTAAGACCTCCACGACTGGGGTCAACAATACAACAATAAACTTAAGCTTTGAAGAAAAACCTACGAACCTCTTAAAGGAAAGAACTCATTCTGATACAAGTGAAGAAATCAAAGAAAAATCTGTAGTTCTTTTAAAGGAAAGAACGTATTCTGATACAAATGAAGAAAATAAAAAAAAACCTGTGGTTCATTCACAGGATAGAAATTACTCTGGTAGAAATGAAGGAATCAGTGAAGAAAAACCAAGTGTTATTGATACCTTGCTTGAAGCTGCAGAGGATGACACAGAAAGACCAGCTTTTATCGACAAAATTCCTAGGGAGAACTCTGGAGATGAACCGGGCCCATCTAAAGAACAAAAACGTCCAAATATTAACCTTAATCAACTAGCTAACGAGCAAGAACATTGTGTTCCTAAAGAAGAAAAAGTCGCTATTGAACGACAACCAAATGCTGGTCTGTTTACTAGAACGAGAGCTTTGTCCGAGCAAGCTAGCAATAAAGGCTATCTTAGTGGATCTCTTGACAGTATAACAGTCTTAAATCAACAAGACAGTAAAGGAAGAGCTTCCAGGTCTAGTCGTGTTTCGTACAGCCCTCCCACTAACCCACGCAACTCAGTAGGACATTTAACCAGAGAGAAAAGAGCCCCCAGAATGTTACGTCAGGCATCATTTGATATGGTATGTCACGTTCCTATCTAGTCACCAATGTGATCCCCACTAAAAGAACATGTAAACATGAGAAAGGAAGAAAGGGAGCGAGCGAGCGAGCGAGCAAGCACGCACGTGCATGCCGGCATATGGTGGGCCTAGCCGAATTAACTTGAAGGGTTTTAGGATAACAAAAATACAGCCAGGAGATAGCCTATTTGTCGTGTGCTGGAACCTGACCCGCTCTCTCAGGATGCCGACATGGAATTTCCTTTGAGGCCTCTGTACTCATTCGTTGAAAAAATAATTTTCATTTTTTGTTGTGCAATCAATGGATTGACTCTCATTTTCCCTCAAATAACAATATAAACGTTTTTTGTAGATGTTGCCGTTATTATCACCGAAAACATGACACTGTGTCTCAAAAGAACATTCCATGACACCAAGAACCAGACAGTCTAGTCAGATTTCACTATCGCATGAACCACTTCTGTTATAACTTATATTTACGTTATCTTCACATAGGAATACCAGTTACCTAACCAGCCTGTGCACACTGTGGATATTAGTATGTCACCCTCTGTCCTTCGTCAAGGATATCCTTCCATGAACAGAACTCAATCTAGTCCTACTCTGTATTCATCAAATTTGATCAGAAGTCCACTTAGTGCCCGAAAGAAAAGCTCGCTGGGGAATAAGGTTCCTAGGCCTCCTAAAGTTTCAACTGGCACTGATGACAGTCTCCCACCCAGGCCCCAAGCTCGTGGTATAAGACGATCCCTTGAATTCAACCCAATGTTTTCATCCGGGACATCTTGGAGGAAGAGGTAGTGATACTTGGCTCTAAATGGTCGAATACTGCGATAAGAAATAAATTTGTTTTGTTAAGCTGAATTGCCAGTCAGTGAATTATTTTGATAGGGAAGTGGTCCGTATTCGATACCAAAGTGTAGTTTTTATAAGAAGATTTTATAAGGTATCTAGAAGAGGAGTTGCTATTTGGGACGTGGATAGGGTTTGCTGGACAAATATGGCTCCGGGTTATGACTGAGTTCCTGGTAGAAGGAGATTTGCAGTCAGGCGGCTTTATTGTGAAAAAGCACCTGTTTCTGATTTGAAGTTGCTTTTTGCGTAATATGGTACGGGAAAGTTCGATGTGGCAAAATGTTATCACTAGTACTCACAGCCTAACTTGAGCTGGGTCTTACAGCCTCTTTCTTTCATCTCAGTCACTAGTAGTATCCAATGGTTTCGTATTGACTTTACGGAGTTTAAAAAAGTACTGTAACTTTTGTTGGCTGACGTGTAGCTAACTATATTCTTAAGAACACCAATATAGTAAAATTTGTGGTAAAGTTCACTCAATATACTTATTGGAAGGTATGGAAACGTTGTAATATTTTGCTCAGCTTAGCTCTTTAGGTGATGTATGACCTATGAGCACGGGAGTCCTTTTTCGTTCGCGTGTGTCTCCACCTGGGGACGATGTCAATGGCTATTTTCGCAAGTGGACAACCGTGAATACATAAATTATAATTGGAAACATTTTAGTAAGTTTCAACACTTGTGTGGACCCAGGCCTCAGCTTTTTATGCCTGTGAGCCAATTGAATTCGCACCTCGCCTTATCTGAAGATAGTTTCATTTTATGTACCAGGATACTAACAAGAACATCGCGTGAAATAATGTGTATTATACCACTACATGATAAATTTCTGCAATTTGATTGGCTTAGAGCAGTGGTATTTCAGCTTAATTTGAAATACCTACATGTGAAAATTACAAACCTTTTGCGGGTAGTGGTATAAACAAATAATAGCATGATTTGTCGTGTTATTTGGCAAAAATACCGCTCGTGATATTTCAAAATTGTCTCAAATTTCACTCGCCTAACGGCTCATGAAATTACGTATAACAATTTCGAAATATCACTCGTGGTATTTATGCCAAATATCACTACAAATCATGCTATTACCCATACTTACTATACTTTAAAATTACAGACTAGCCCTTTATCATTATCGTCGGATTTACTAGCTCCGGCCCCACGCAAACGTTCTCATGGCTTCGTCACCGTTCCATCCCCACGAACGCGGCCCACTGAAAAGAGCAGCGACATTCGTTCTGGGTTTACGGACCAATCAGAGCCAGTTTTCTAACCAGGATCACCAGACATTCGTGGGGAAGGAAGGCGTGACGAAGCCCTAAAAATGTGTGCGTTGGGGGCTACGAATTTACAAATCCAGCCACAGCGTGTTATGAATGGTCTGTTATTTATTTTTTCACAGGATCAGTTATTTAATAACTCTTTTTACTTGAGACCAAAAGCCGGGGCTAGTTTTTTTATAATTCAGCAAGATTTTTATACTTTTGTGGCAAGTGTTTCTATGCTGGGTACAATATAGGAACATTAAAAAAACAGTTGTAAAAAATATTAATAGTAATGTTTTTGCATAAAAAAACGGTTCTTGTAAAAAAAGCGTCATTTTTACTTAAAAGAGCTGTGTTTTTACAAATTGAACGGTTGTAAAAAATACTGCTTTTTTACAAAAGTAAAGTTGTAAAAAAACAGCTTTTTTACAGAAATATATTTTTTGTAAAAAAGCTGCTTTTTTATGTAAAAATCCTGCTTTTTTACAAATTGAGCGGTTGTAAAAAAACTGCTTTTTAACAGAAATATATTTTTGTAAAAAAGCGGCTTTTTTATGTAAAAAAGCTGGTTTTTTACAAATTATATTTTTGTAAGAAAGCTGCCTTTTTATGTAAAAATCCTGCTTTTTTACACATATAAATTTTCTTGAAAAAAAGAGCTTCATGCTCTTCCTTTAGACCATTTGACAAACCCATTTATCCAAGACAGGCTGTTTTCTATAGCATGGTTCGAACTTTATTGAACTGTAGTTTTCGTGCGCTTCTCAAACTATACGTTATAAGATATCCGGCTAGTCATGTTCACGTTCACGTTCCCGTGTCCCCTTTATTGTGGGGCTTTTAAATTCCTTTGTTAACTCGCTGAAAGCGTTAAAAATTTACGTTCTTTTTTTTAGTTTTATTATTTCTTCTTGTTTCCCTTGTCATTCAATTTTCCAGGACCTTCTAATTGTTGAATGCGAAGAAGGAACAGGCAGTAATTTCATTTGTTATGCTTATCGGCCGAAGTCACACAGGCAGTAACTGCATATTAGGCAATAAGACAATAGCTGGGTTATTCACTGTCTTATTTAGAAGCAATGCCTGTCACCATCTCTTGCAGCAACCAAAGCCTTCTATTCTCTCCTTCATTGCTACTTTTGTTCAAGCCAAAAACTGTACAGAATATTGCTCCGTATTAATTATCTATTTTCCCAAGGTTATCAGCTGCAATAATCGGTTTAACTGTCAACAAAACACTTGGCTATAATTTCTTTGTTGCTCTTAGAAGTGGACAAATAAATTATAACTCCTTTTCTAGCATAAAATCTTCAGCAAGAATCAACGACAGCAAATTGTTAGACAATTTCCTGTATTAGGTTGCGCTAGACTTCTATCACGGGATTCATGATATGTTGAAATCCACGTTGAAATCTATCAGTGGTTTTGAACTATATGCTCGTTGGATGCCCCTGTGTTGATGCAGTGTCATGTCTGCGTTACAACTTTAAGCTTTCAGCATGATGTAGGAACATGTTCAGTCGTCTAATCAAGCAAAAGGAAACGCTGGCCTACAAATGCACATACACTTTCTTGTTAGTCTAATTTTTGGAACACACAGAGCAACTTGTGAGGCCATAAAAACAGCAGCCGATTTGTTTATAAGAATTAGGGACTATAAAGGCGGTCTGTAACGCACGGCAATGCGTGTTTTATTTTAGAGATCGAGAGAGAAATAAGCCAGAAAACACTTCTAAAGGCTAAACAACTTTAATATGAACACAAGCTGAACTCGTCAGCAACATTTAGAGTATGACCGTTTTTTTACAAAATATATTTTTGTAAAAAAGCTGTCCTTTTACAAATATATATACAGTATAAAAAAACAGCTTTCTTACCGTACCATTTTTTTACACAACAGTAATAATAGTAAAACTGTCAAGGAGTGTCAGCCTGATTTATACACGCTCACGCTGTCTATATTTTTTTTAATTCAATCGAACGACGCTTTACGGACACCCGCTAGGATAATAATCGGCTCCTACAACCACTTAATACGGGTAGCCCTAACCTGAGAACAGGCTCTATTGTCGTTTCGCTTTGTAAATAACATTCTGGCGGGCATAGCGAAACGAAAAGAAACGGTAGCCGTTAGAGAGAATGTATGAGAACCGCTCAATTTGGGCCTGTTCTCAGGTTAGGGTAGCCCACGTGGCAGGCGTTAGAAGGCGTCAGAGGGGGAGGAAGGGGGGGGATATGGAGAGGGGATTGGAGAAAGAAGAATATAGGAACGGCACTCCCTCTCCCTTTTCCCTTTCGCGCTTTTTCCGTTTTCCCCCCGCCTCGTCCCACGTCGGTCGCGATCACTATTTGGGGTTAATTGAGTTAATTATTAAGGAAAGCGCCCATTCCCACCACCTCCCTCTCGCGCTTCTCGTTTGTCTCCAGCTCTCGCGTGTCGTTTCTCGCTTTCTTAGTGCTCCCCACTGAGCCTTGGGAAATCCTGTGGAGGAGGCAGGGGAAAGGATGCTACTGTCCACAGCGCTAACCACCCAAAGTGCATATGGTTCTTGTTAGTCCTCAATCAAAAAATCAATTATAACCCCTTTAACGCAAATTGCTGTCACACGTTAATTGATAGCCCGCGTATAGTAGCAAGCGTTTCTGTGTGGTTTCGGAGGAAAGAAAGACCGAGGAACGACGAGGAACGGGTTTTTCGGTTTTGGCCGCACCAAAAATGGGACAAAAGCCAAAAAATGAAAACGGAGGCAATGGGAGAAGAACTGTATACAAGTAAATGTACAAGTGTGCGTAAATTAAAGTCGTAATGTTTCGTACTACTTTCTTACAGAACAAGCCCATACAGTACCGGGTAATGCACACTGTATAAATGAGCGACTTCATAGTTTACGTTCTTGTAGACTAAGCGACGGAAAAATGGGTATTTTGTACGCTATAGACTTCCAGTTTGTTGATGTTTGTTGAGTCTTTTTTGATATTTGCTCCAATAAAATGTGTATTTTTGACTTAATTTATACGGGCACTTTCCGACCAAACTTTCCATGGTCTCTTCGGTGTCCGTATGAACGGGCTTGCACTGTATAACAGAAAATTAATGATAATCAAACTTCCTTTGTAAATCAAAATAACAATCTATGGGTGAAAAAGGAGACGTGGACCAATATTTCCTCGGAATTCCCAACGTCAGCTGGTTCACCGAATACCGAACGCGTACGATTACAAAGAAATGTTATGGACTGAGAGCAACTTCTCCATTTCGAGTGGCAGGCAAACGCGCGAGTGAGTGGCGAAGCCGCGAAGGGCGGAGGAAACGAAGAGCTCTCACTTTCTTTCCCCGCACCTAACTCCCTCTCGTTTCGTCTCGTTTCGCTTGCCACTCGCGCGTGACTTCTCGCGGAGAGCTTGCTTGCAAGCTGTTACGGTTTCATTTTTGTGAGAGATGGTTGCATTGTCATCATAATGGCTCATTCAATTGTTGCAAGAGTACCCATACCCCTAAAAGGATTTTTTAAGTGCTGACATCTCCTTTGGCTCTCGACATCTGAGCAAGTGCGGACAAAATTGCACAAACTCTCGTCTTTAGCCAAACTCGTCAATTCCAATCACTTTTGCGAGATTTAACTCCAATTATCGGAAGAAATCGATCTGTTTCTAGGTAAAAAAAAAAAAACAACAACAACAACAACATCCTTCTTCCAAACTGAAAAGTATCTCTTGTTTTAAAATGTTGAAAATACTTCGCCCTAATTTCGTAAAATAAACACCGTCACACTGACATTTTTGTCCACTTTCATGACCCACACGAAATTAGGGCGAAGCCTCATAGCTTCTCCGTGAAGTTTGAAAATACCACAAATAGGGATGTCGTATCCGATTTCTCTATTCCTCACACTAATATAAGAAGCTTAAGAAAAAATATTGAACATTTTCAATGTCAGGTACTCAGTAAGGTAAAACATAATTTCACGGTATTAGGTGTAACAGGAACGCGATTATGCGAAGGCGAATCTGTTGATTTTATACCACAGCTACCTGGCTATTGCTTTGAATTTGTTAAAACCCCGTTGTCTGCCGGTGGTGTTGGTCTTTTTATTAATGAAAACTATAAATATCGAGTCTCAGAACGCGCTACTAATTTCTCTTATCAAGCCTTGGGGATTGAAATTTTACTACCAAATCACAAGAAAAATATCTGTGGCATTGTTTACAGACAACATAATAATGGAGACCAATTTCTTGACTATTCGGATTCCCTCGAGTATTTCAGTAATCATAATAACAATATATATCTCATGGGAGATTTCAATATAGACTTGCTAAAATATGAAAACTGTAAATACAGACAGACACTGCTTCAGTGTATGCAAAGTTTTTCTATGCTTCCTACAACAGACCTTGTCACGGTTTTCGACGCCATCTTGACGAGTAGGCAAACGATCGAGAAATTACAGTGTTTGTATGAGAATAATGTCGAATAATTTCCGTAGAACGGCTGTTCTGAAAAAAATATGAATTGTAAACTAAAGCTTCACTCCTAAGGATTCTACTGAAAAAAAATTGAGGGCGTTACATGCGCTAAAAGACCTAAAACCACTTTTTAAAATTTTCTGTACATTTGTCTGTAAGAAAGTCCCGGGAAAAATTACAGGCAAATATATGGAAAATCTTAAGAATTCCCCAGAGTATTGCATGCATACATTGGTAATGAATACTTACTGCGTTAATAAAAGAGGATTTTTTGTCTTTTATTTTTATCTTTTTCTACCCCTCTCCTCAGGGGCATGCGTCCTTTACGCAAATACGCACGTGCGTACTTGGGAAATTGGTGTCCAAGGATTTTTTTAAATATTTTCTGTTATAAGTGAAAGCCATTTGTAGTGTCGTGAGTTGAGCTTGTATTGTGCAGATTTGTTCCTGTCTGTCTTTACACGAAAAAATACAACCGTTTGAGTAGTGGAATGTCACAAATTCAAAACATTCTTTAAATGTTTGCGTTCAGGCGATCCCATAGTACATTACCTCTTCATAAAAAACGGAGGGGGTACAACAAAGGTGCGAGGCCGCAAAAAATAGACCCTGACTGATTATCATCCCTTTCAAGATTTATCTGGAAAGTGTTTCTATTCAAAAGCTATTCATTTTTTCAGTTTTCTATCTCTATAAATGTCGAGAAAGTCTATCAAAGACTACTTTAATGTCGCTCAACTGGAAAATCATGGACCCAACCATGCCGACGATAATCCAGGTAAGAAGC